GGTCTTCTGGCCCACTGTGCGTTGGAGCGCTGCCTAGAATGGGTGGGAACGGATCCAAGCGGCCGCCGCCGTGTCGTCCTGGACCTGGACCGGCAAGGCAAGGCTGAAGCCAGCAAGCCAGGCAGGCCGCGACGCGACGCGCCGCGACGCCGAGGTCATAGGCAGATAAGTTTTACCGCGGCGCACGCAGCGGCACCACGCAGGCCACGCAGGCGGTCAGCAGCAGACTGATTCCGAGAGTCGCCTGTCTCTCTCGCACATACACTGCACGCCCCGTGAGTGCGACAGAGACAGAGCGACGAAACCGACTCTCGGAATCAGTCTGCAGGCGGCAGTGGAGGTGTACGCCACGCCGCGGCCACGCCAGTGGGCAGTGCTAGTGCTATTCTAATCGCGTTCCGATCCTTCCGGCCGCGGCTCGGCAGCACGGCTCGGCAGTGCGGGACTTCCCGGACAGAGACCGAGCGTCGCGGCGCCGCCGGGAAAGGAGCGGACCGAAAAAAAAAGCAGCGGCAGAAAGGATAATTAATTCCGCCGCATGTCCGTCCAGCGGGTCGCGCATTAGGCTAAGTGGCCGACGCCGTGCCGACGCCGTGCCGACGCCGTGCCGACGCCGTGCCGACGCCGTGCCGACGCCGTGCCGACGCCGTGCCGACGCCGTGCCGACGCCGTGCCGACGCCGTGCCGACGCCGTGCCGACGCCGTGCCGACGCCGTGCCGACGCCGTGCCGACGCCGTGCCGACGCCGTGCCGACGCCGTGCCGACGCCGTGCCGACGCCGTGCCGACGCCGTGCCGACGCCGTGCCGACGCCGTGCCGACGCCGCTGCCGACGCCGTGCCGACGCCGTGCCGACGCCGTGCCGACGCCGTGCCGACGCCGGGCGTACGGAATCCTATTCCGCACGCCCTCCAGCAGGCTGCGCCGTCTCTCTCGCACCTATGCGCAACGCCGCACGAGTGCGAGAGAGACAGAGCGACGAAAACCACTGCAGCCTTCTCGCGTCGCCGCCAAGGCGAAGCAAGGCGAAGCCGAGCCAGTCCTTCCCTTTGCGGAACGGCACGCCGCGGCACGCCGTGTTTTGCAAATCCGCTTCACGGTTTCGCGCTAGCCTCGCACAATGCCTCTATTCGCGCTGGACGCGCGTGCCCCCGCCCCGCCCCGTCTTGCCTTCCGCGCGGCCTCGTATGTATTTAGCTGTCGTCAGGGTGGTCTGCCTGCGCCTCGGCCTGCGCCTCGGCCTGCGCCGCCTGCATGCGGCGAGGCGAGCGAGGCAGTGTACTCGACGACGCGCCGCGGATAGCACACTGTACTGTACGGACTCGCGACCGGCAGACCGAGTCCGAGAGTGGTTGTCGTCGCGCTGTCTCGCTCGCTCCCACACGGGACATCCCACGAGTGCGAGAGAGACTCTCGGCATCAGTCTGCAGGCCAGACACTCGGACGGCGATCGCTTCGGATCGACTTGACCTTGTTTCTGCTATGACTAATGGCCACCCGGGATGGCCGGACTCGTCGGACTCACTCGGACACGTTCCACAATTATCGAGTCAATGACGGCATCCGAGGCATCGCCGGAAAGACGACCGAAAAGAAGCGGCGAGATAATCCAGCCGGCCGGGCACAGCGCACAGAGCGGCGGCGGCCAAAACTCTAGACGCGTTTCGAGCTCCAGAATCGCTAAACAGGACTCGAACCGAGCGTGTGACCCCACCAATGGATTGTCCCCCGAACGAGGAATCCATTGGTGGGGTCACGCGTCCGGTTCGAGTACTATTTAGCGACGCTGCAGCTCAAAACGCGTCCGGGGCTTTGACCGCCGCCACCGGTCTTCTGGCCCACTGTGGGATGGTTGCGCTGGTCCAGGTGCATGCCTCGGACTCCATAGGACTCCGTGACGGCGTCCTTCAGGACGACGAGGAAACAGCCGCCAGACCGCCACACTGCCTGGGCGTGATAATCGCCCGATCTCCTCGTCCTATTATGGGCGGCGCGGCGTGGCGCCTGCGATTCGGAGGATCGTTGCGTCGCTCTGTCTCTCTCGCACTCCTGGCGGCCCGGCGGTACGCTCCATGAGAGCGAGAGAGACAGCCACGAAATGATCCACTGGAGACTCGGTTAGCGCGTCGATCGCCCAAAACAGTCCGCGGTGGGGGTACACTATAAACGTGATGATACGGCGTATTTCAGTCTATGCCAGTGGGCCGCGCTACCGCGTTGCTGCCTTTGACGTTTGGAGCACGATTAGTCACAACACTGCTAGAGTCGTAGCACGGCTAGCACGGTTAGGTTGGGCTAGGCACCGTCTCGCCGCCGTCTAGCCCCTCGGTGCCCCACTGACGAGTCGCGGCGAATAAGCAATGCTTCCTCGTCGCGGACCCGCGGACCGCACCACTGTAATGCCAAGGTTTGCCTCGCGCAAGCAGCAGTCTGATTCCGAGTCTTTCTCGTCGCTCTGTCTCTCGCACTCATGGGGCGTTGCCGCCACGCCGTCTAGCCGCCCCGTGGACGCCAGGCTACCGCGGCTAGGGCCGGGCCAGTGGCCATGGCTCTGCAGAGCGGAGGGAACGTAGCACCTTTTGCCTTCTTGCAATGGCAACGGGTTGCTTTTTGCCTAACACTCAGGCGGCTATCTAGGGGTCAAGGGTGGCGAGGCACTTAACCCCCCCCCCCTCTTGGGCCTTCCCTGGCTGGCGACAGGCCCGGCGACCTCAGAGTGACACTCTTCCCCCTCCTGCCCGAGGCGCCCAAGGCGGCCATGGCTGCGCACTGAGCAGCTCGTGTTGGGCCGTTGCTATCTACCTACTCGGCGCAGGGCCTGGCCTAGCCTAGCCTCGCCTAGCGCAGAGCCAACAGTAGGCCTAGCCTAGTCCGGCCTAGCCTCGCACGGCGCGGCGTCGCGATGCGCTCAGTGTCCGACCTTGGCATTCGAAGCGCCCCGCCAGCCCCGCGCCTCGTCCCGTTGCCTCCGCGGCTCGTCGGACGCGCGGACGACCTGCCCCTGCCGCGCTCCGCGGCCAAGCTGGGCCAGGCGCTCTCGACGCGAGTCGAGTCCCGACGCCTTCGCGTTGCTTCGCGGCGCCTTGACCGATATCGCGACCTGTCCACCGGCTGCTCGGCGCTCGGCACTGCCAGGCCGCCAGCAGAGAGTCGCTTTCGTCGCTCTGTCTCTCGCACCTGCACGGGACGCCCCATGAGCGCGAGAGAGAGAGAACGCGACGACTCTCGGAATGAGTCTGCTGGGCACCGCGCTGGCTACCCTCGACGCCTCGGCGAGCCCCGACAAGTGCCGCCGTGCTCGAATGACACGCCAGGAACGACAGGACGACAGCTCCCCGTCAACTTCCCCCTACAGCAGGGTCCCCGGCCCGCCCCTGGCCCCCGCCCCGCCGGCCTAGGCGCGATTGCGTCAGCTGGCCCCACTCCCCGCCCCACGCCGGGCCGAGTGCAGAACTGCAGAAGCAGCAGGATGTTGCGTGTCTGCGCGGCTGTGCCCGGCGCACACCATGCAGGCCAACATGCTGGTCGCCATGCTGGTCACCATGTTGGTCGGTCACCATAGTACTGGTCGCCATGCTGGTCACTAGGCAGGTCACTATGCAGGCCACCATGCAGGTCGGTCACCATGCAGGCCGCCATGCAGGTCACCATGCAGGTCACCATGCAGGTCACCATGCAGGTCACCATGCAGGTCACCATGGCAGGTCACCCACCATGCAGGTCACCATGCAGGTCACCATGCAGGTCACCATGCAGGTCACCATGCAGGTCACCATGCAGGTCACCATGGCAGGTCACCATGGCAGGTCACCATGCAGGTCACCATGCAGGCCACCATGCTGGTCACCATGCAGGTCGCCATGCAGGCCACCATGCTGGTCACCATGCAGGTCGCCATGCAGGCCACCATGCTGGTCACCGTGCACGGCACAATGCGCGGACAGTAGTTCACCATGCAGCTGGGCGACCGTCAGCGCCACCAAAAGAATAAACAAAGAACCGAAATGTAACGAGCGGCGGCTCTGTCCGTGTGCAGTCCGAGTCCATGGCTGCGCTGCCGTGGCGCACGCGATGAAGTGGCATTCCCTGCCGATTTGGCACGGTCACTTTGCCCGCGCAATGTCAAGCGGTACGTGCACTCGCAGAGCAGCTGGCCAAAGTGGCGCGGCGTGGCGCGGCGCGCGGCGGGTAGTCCCGCTCAAACTGTTGATAAACAGTGCCGCGTATTTTAAGACCCTCTTTATGTTGGCGAGGTTCGTGTGCGGATGGCCGAAAAAGAAAACCGTCCGGACGGCCCGAGAGAGAGAGAAAGAGACGCGCCACTGCCGTCGGCATTCCGATGACGGCGACCTCTGTGTGCAGGGCGTGCAGGGCGCGCCGCCAGCGAAGGAGAGAGGCTTCGTCCCCGCCAAAAAATATACCCCCCAGGCCACTCATTTCGAGTCGTTTACGTTGCTCTGCCTCTCTCACTCATGGTCGTTCCCTACGGGTGTTAAGACGGAGCAGCCAAACAGACTTTCGGAATCAGTCCGCTGCAGGCAGCCAGCCAACAAAAACTCCAGAATGATGTCTTGACTGCGAGAGCGCCGGCAGTGCAGTGGCAGGGCGGCGGGCGGCGGGCAGCATCCCATCCCCTGGCCGGCGCCCTCCACGACCTCGCGCTGACGCAACACACCGTGCCATGCACCACTTGCACTGCCAGTGGCGTGGCCCACAGTGGCGTGGCGGCGACACGGGGCAAGGCGCGCAAGACGTCAGCGGTATTTGCGGATCGCCCCAAACATTTAAAATTAGAACGCGAAAAAAAAGAGAAGTTTCGGGCGCGCGGCCAAATGGCCTCACTGGTCGGGCGGGTCGGGCACGCTGACCGCGCCACGCGGGGCAACAAAAATAATAACAATAACAGTAATAAAGGCGGTAGCGAGTGCGAGAAGGGCGGCCAGCTGTCACCACGGTGTCACCAGCACCCCGAATAACCGAGCGCTCTCCCTCTGCTTGCAGATCAAGATGCTGAACAGCCTGGCCAGCTACCTGCTCGGGTACCCGGGCTCTTCGTCCCCCGCGGCGGCGGCGGCCACGTCGCCGAGCCGCGCGGTCGAGGGTGATGCCACCATCACCGTCGACGTGCCCAGCGCCGACAGCGCGGCGCTGCCTGGCGTCGATGTGCGGCTGAGCGCCGTCGAGGCTGACGACGACTGGCTTCTCGTCGACCGGACCGGTGAGTACCGCGTGCGGACCGCGTGCATGCCAGAGGCAGATCCAGAGCCGGCCTTCATCGGTCAGTTTCCTTGCCACTTTTGAATGCCAGCCTTCTGGGCCCGGATTACCCTCAGAGACTGACAAAGTTTGGCACTCCGGGGTCCTTGAATGGCAAGAAAACTTCTACCACTGGACTTGCAGTGTACTTACAGGGGCAAAGTGTTGCTTTTTGCCGACCACCGTTCAGGCGGCTGTCCAACACGTGCACGTCAGGTGCATAACCGTGCGTCTCTTGTTGCAGACGATGACTGCCCCGAGGGCTCGGCCTCGGCCGCGGTCACCGTGCCGGCGGCCACCGCGGCCGCGAGGCTGACGCTGGCCGTCAGCACCACCTCCTACCACTGGCCCGACAGCGACGACGTCGCGGCCGCGTCAAGGCCCCTCGAGGAGTCCTGGTTCGTGACGCCGCCGCCCTGCTTCACCTCGGGCTCGGTGCCACTGGAGACGTCCCCGCTGGAGAACCTGCTCATCGAGCACCCCAGCATGTCGGTGTACCACCGGTCCGCCGCGCCCGCGGCCGCCGCCACGCCGCTGTCCAGCTCCGTGGGGGCGTCGCCCCCCGCCAGGTCCCCACAGAGGGGTTCCGCGGCGTCGGCGCACGCCGCCGCGCTGAGGCGGTGCCGCCAAGGACCCGCCAAGCAGGGCAACCAGGGCAGCAAGCAGGCCGCCGTCGCGGCCGAGACTTCGGCCCCGCCAAGAACTGCCTCCCCGTCCGGCGCCTCGAGCCCCGCCTCCGGCCCCTCGGGCGCGGCGGCCGTCGCCGTGGAGCGGGGCGCGCACTCGCCCACGCGGTCCAGCAGCCCCAACCCCGCGCAGACCACGGCGGTGCAGGCCTCGCCCAGAAGGCCCAACGCCTTCTCTCCCTACCAGCAGCAACAGCAGCAGTCTGTCCAGTACCGCACGGCGCAAAAGGTGAGTCTCATGATGGCCCTCCAGCCTGCGCACACCAAAGCCACAAAGACGCACTTTAGTCTCACGATCCACATCTAACGCCGTGCCTTGTCTGTCCCTTTGCAGCTGGTACAACGGGCTGCGTGCCAGCAGCTCAAGCGCGACTCCCTGGAGCGCAACAACAAGGCTCGTGAAATTCGCTCGTCTCGCAACAAGCGACAGCGCCGCAGTGACCACATGCAGCACCACTCTGGTGCCAACAATAACCGCAAGTGCTAGCCCAGAGCACGCGGACCATGATCTCAACACAACCACCGAGTGTACGTAAGAATGTTGCCTCAAATAGCCCAGGTACTGATCATGCAAAACTATAGTGGCGCCAACTTGTTTCTTTGGATCAAAGTTATTGTTGTGAATATTTGTTACGTTCTAGTCTTGAGTACAAGCTAATGACATGGACAGACCAGAGACCATGACCCATCAGCTTAAATTTACCAATGGATCAACTCATGTGATTCATCGTTTTCTGTATTCCTCTTTCCTTCATGAGAAGGAGGGTTTTGAAAGCCAGATCAGTACCTTGTTATTTGTTACAAACTTGAAAGGGCAGATGAAAGTGAATAATTCATTAATCATTATAAAACAACAAAAAAAAAATACAAATTGCCTTTATGGTCACTGTGCAGAATGAATAGGAATCTATTCAATAATGTTGTGACTGACTAATAGGGAAAAAGTTTCAAAAAAGTTGATTTTTCTTTTTTTGACTTACCAAAAACGGCATGATCTTAGAGCTAATTTTGAATGGTCATTTAATTAAATGAGAAGGTAACTGGTTCAGGCAAAATTTTGAAGACAACTTGTTTTGTGCATGGACCAATGAATGTCACATAACAAATAATATATTTGAAGCATCTTTCGAATAAAGAAAAGAGGACACTTTGGCAGAAAGGAGGGAAAAAGAGGAAAATACTTCATGAGGCAAGAAAGCTTTGGCATAGGCCTTTACCTAAGCTAGATGCTGATGAGTATTCAATGTCCGATAGGAACTAAATGGATTCCTAAACTTGGGAACCTCTTTACATTTAAAATCGACGTTGATATCATACTTTGACTGAACTTCGCGAAAAGTTCAAGAAGAGTAGAAAAACAAGAAAATTCCCCGGGACGCTCACTAAATTATTATTAGGACTAGCACATTTTAGCAACTAAGAAACTAAGCTAACCGCTTTGCTAGCCAGTAGAGAGTGACTCACGTGCTCACAACATTCATCATTTTTACAGTACGTTTAGATATAAAATTTGGTGAGTAGCACGAGCGTTTCTAAAATTTTTAAAACTTACTAAGTGATTAAGATTTGGATTTTTAAGAACTGCTAATCAAAGCACTACTAATATCTTGAGTACAGTTTAATTTTGCTACAGAGCTATCAAAGCACAGTAAATTGTCTCAAGATATTTATCAACACATGGCAGTTCAACTTTAGGCCTCATTTCTTCCACTTTTCCCTCTTAATTTATGCGAATTAATAGATGAACAGCAAGATCAGCTTGAAACTATTCTTTCTCAACCCTTTTGCTTCTCAAGTACACTTGATAGTGCTTGTGTAACCTCCTGCCTCAATTGAGGAGTATTTATCTTCTTTCTTGTTTTGGTGTGTATAAGAGAAACTGCATGAAAAGCAGTGCTATTTTTTAATATGAGTTATGTAGAACCTATTTTATAGTTTTTAAGTTTGCTTTGATATACTTGTTTTGTTTTTTAATTTGTTTAAAATGCTGGGTACCCAACAGCAGTCCACAAGAGGAAATTGTAGGATGTACTGCAACAGTGATAATTTGTAATTTTGACAGCAGTGGTATTTTATGGTTTGAATGATTTAGATCCTTAGTATTTAAGTTTGCCTTGATACTTTTTTTTTCTTTTATTTGTTGAAAATTGCTGGGTACCCAATGGAGCAGTTCACAAGAGAAAAATGTAGAATTTGAACAGGTATGTAGCTGGAGGAGCTCCCCCTTCAGTTCAATGTGACAATGATAATTTGTAATTTTGCCCAACTGAGAAAAGAATCAAAACCATGAGTTACATGGGTTTTGTTCCCCCACCCCCTTGTTTTTTGTTACCTTCAGTATTGGAAAGCATGTCAAAGAATTTTAATATGGACCTTGCTGTTAAAAAAAAAGATGTAGTATACTAGGTCATCCATCTCCTTGCCCAGCAACAGCCAAAAGCCAAAATACTAGATCTAGCCTAGCCTGGTTTGTGATATCATTAACTGTCATTGTAATTAGCTTTCACAAAGTCCTTCAAACAAATGAAGGACCATGTCATCTCATTATGTTTTATATAGATGTAAGCACACCATTCAATGTGACAACTTTTCTATTAAATGATTCTACAAGTAAATCTTTTAAAAGTTGATATACCAAATCTTGCTATATAGAAAACTGTCCAGCTGGAGAGTTACATTCAAAATCACAAGCAGCATATTGGGAAATAGTCTACCAGTGTGGATGGCTTATGTTATTACAATAAGAAAATATTAAGTCGTAGTACTTAAACAAAAATAGTCTGAAAATTACCCTCAAGTCTCACAGTGGTAGGTCCTGTCCCCATGTGCAAGTGCTTTTGAATAGAAATTTTCTCTGGCGCAAAATGATTTATAAGCTCTATGAGCCTTGACCTTCTGTACAGGGAGTGAAAGAATGCAAGGATGCATGTGTGAAAGAAAAGAGAACAGAGGCATAAAATAGCAGCTCAGAAACTGAGAGGTGTTTACTTTTCTGCTTTCATTACATTTGTGTTTCATAACTGGGTACTTAGGACAAAATGTGAAAAAAAATGAAGTGTCTGGATGACGAAACAAAACAGTTTAGAACATGAATAGGACATAGGTTTTAGCCTCTCTAGGTGAGTGAATGAGTTGTGTTGATATTATGGTGCATGTAAATGTTAAATAAGTCCTGTTTAATTATAACACTAAGCAAAGGCTATGTCAAAGAGATTTCTCTTGCATCCACTCCACTTCTGTTTTCATTTTGTAGCAATTTTCTTTTAATTATCTCATTTTAAAAAGAAAATGCCTAAGGTGCGTTATTTATAAATCTAACTTCAATGACAAATAAAACTGAATTTTTGCTCCCGTTGGGACTGCAATCACATAGTGTTGACAGTTGCTTGGCAACACTAATCAACTCAATGTGGAGCAAATATATCTATCTTCCTTCTCAGTCCACAGTTCTTTATTTATTTATTATGATTGTCACAGGAAGATAGAATGGTTTTTGATTTAATTTGTGAAACTCGAACACTGAACACGTTCACTGTCTCATGGTCTTAATTCAAAAAGCCTATCAGTTTTTATTTCTTGTTTGTTTGATTGCTTTCAATTTGTGCATTGACACTTCATGCAAAGAAGGGAGAAAACAGGTAAAGTTACTATTTTTGCAATAATGTTTCATGCACAATGTGTGATGGACTGAGTTTTTATTTATTTATTATGTTTTAAGTCAAACTGTATAGTTTTTATTACAACAATACTATTGCATAAATTACTTTGAGTGATTGCAATTATCTATGAAATTTTTTTCTTTTAACTTACTAGAGCTTTTAAACCAGAAAATTATACCATTTTAAAAATATAAAAAGTATATATATGTATGAATATGTAGACATGTATATAGACTTTTTAAACCCTCAGTAAGAATTGGCCTCCAGATAGTAGGTCAAAATAGGGTAACTCACTCTTCTGCTAATTGTTTTCTTCTGACAGAGTATTGCTTTTCATGAAGGTTTTTGTTTTCTTTTTAAATGTGTGTATGAGTGAATGGGCGTGTATAGAGAACCAAAATCCCACACATAAAATATATGTAACATAGATATGCCTGCACATTGTCACCACTCTGTATATGTCTTTCAATGGAAAATTATCCATGTGAACTAGGACTAGGTATACCTGTAGCAGAAGTATTAATTAATTGTCCTATCTTAAAAAGGAAACAAAAATCTAGCAGGGAATCAAAACTTTCACTTTTTAAAATTGTTTGATTGTTAGATGTTTAAATCCTTTGCTCTTCAATCTTGTTTCTGTGAAAAGTGATAACTTGAGAGAATCCAGTCCAATACAAAGGTACCTGTGCTTCTGTATTTCTACAGATACATGCAGTCTTTATGATAAGGGATAAATGGAAACAATGCAAACCATGCAAATGTATCACTGACATTCTCATGATGTTCTCCATACTCAAAGGGAGGAAAAGATCATAAAAAATCATAAAATTATCATAAAGAAATAAAAATGTTGAATATTAAAACTGTTTTCATTTACTGCCCAAATAATCCAAAATCAACATATATATTGACATTTCCTTCGATCACCGCATAAATTTGTGCAAAAAATGACACAGTGTGGGGTGCTGGGGAGGGGACTTCCCTGAAAAACAGGTTCCTGCAAGGAAGGGAAGTGAGGAGGTGAAGGAGTAGAGAAGTTATAGATGGGCTCTCGTTTGAGATTCGAATAATTTCTCATCCTACACTAGCCCCACCCACCCCACCCCTTTGGGAGATCAGAGAAACACGAAACACTGACTGCATATGGACGCCGACGGAAACCGATCCAACGTTCAGCTCAAGCGACAAATCAAAACCAGTGGATCGCGAGACAAAACTTTAAACATACCACAAACGCCAGGCTCAAGGCCAGAGGCTAACTGGATCCGACTCCGAGCAACAACCCTACAAGGTTGAGCGGCGCGCCACGCTGCGCGTGTGAACACGACACCGCCATGCACCGCTTCAAACAGCTGTTCGGCGGCGGCCGCTTCGCCGTCATCGGCATGATTCACGTGGACGCCCTGCCAGGTACGCTAGCGGTACGCCATTGTAGGAACCGAGGGACGGCGCGCCAACCAGGGCCCTTCGCGCCGCCCGCCTGCCGACGTCACGCGCACAGGGCGACTTAACCTTCGCCCCATATGGTTTCCACGCGCTGGCCGCTGGCCGACACGAACGCCGTCGAGAACATGACGAGGACGACGGCGAGAACCCGCGTCTCGAACAAGAACCGCTCACTCTCCGACAGTGTCCGCACGGCGGGCTTTCGTAACAAGAGTCGCGTGTCCAAAGACCGGGAGGCAGGCACCTGCCCGACGACGCACCGCGACGCACCGCGCCTCTCGCGATCGCGACTGAGCCGATAGCCGCGGGGCGGGGCTAGCGGGGCGTGGAGAGGCGGCGGCAGGGGCGTATCAGGCGTGCCGCGGGGGAGGGTCGAGGGGGGGGGGGGGGGGGGGGGGATGCGCCGCGGCGTGTCACCCGGCACGTAGGGCCATAGGGTCGCCCGCCGCCAAGAGAATAAAAAATTAACAATACATTGACCCTTAGTCTTTGCTGGTAATACTGTCACTTTCAACACCACATTCAAAAAATTTTGCCTCTTTTCGTTTGCTTGGAAAAAGATGAGGATGTCTTTCCAAAGCCAATACGAAACCGCACAGCAAATATGTGTGAAAAACTTTCAAAACATTATTTATTATTTTTGTCAGGTACCCCCAAGTATGCAGGATCACTGCAAAAAGTTATTGACAAAGCATGTATGGATGCAGAAATATATGCCAAAAGCTCAGTGGTGAGTTACTTGACCAGATTTAAAAACAATAATGTGTTTATTAGTGGCTTTTATGGCTCTCTTTGTACAGCATGGTGTGTTGATAGAAAACATGAATGACATTCCCTATGTGCGTCGCCAACATCTTACTCCTGAGACAGCGGCTGTGATGACTCGCGTCTCCTCTGAAATAAGGAAAATTGTTCCTCAAAAAATTCCATGTGGAGTACAGGTAATCAAATTGATTTAATTTGTTTCAATCCTTACAGCCTGTTCCACAATATCCATATGTTTCTAATCCACAGATTTTGGCTGGGGCAAATCATGAAGCCATTGCTACAGCACTTGCGGCTAATTTACAATTTATTCGCTGTGAAGGTTTTGTATTTAGTCACATAGCTGATGAGGGATTCATTGATGGATGTGCTGGTGAACTCCTAAGGTACAGAAAACTTATAGATGCTGAGCATGTACAAATTTTCACCGACATTAAGAAGAAGCACAGGTACCAAACACACACACCATTGACACTTATGATTTCAAAAACCAAATACAATGGCCATCTTCAACTTTGGTTTTCTTGTTCTCAGCTCTCATTCGATAACAGATGATGTGAGTATAGAAGAAACAGCACATGCCGCTGAGTTTTTCATGAGTGACGGTCTCATTGTGACAGGTGTCGCAACAGGTCATGCTGCAGATGAGCAACAAGTGAAAGGTAATAAATAAAAATTTTATAAAATTAGAACACGATGTACAATTTTGTTGTAATCTCGTGGATGTCTTTGACATAATTTAGGAGTAGCAGGCCACACAACTTTACCAGTCCTCATAGGGTCTGGAATCGACAAGGATAACATTGAGAAGTACCTTCCCTACGCAAATGGTGCAATTATCGGCTCCCACTTCAAAGAGGATGGCAAGTAAGTAGCCAAGTTCGAACATCAACAATTTAGTGTTGATTTTGTCATTAATTAAAATTCTGACCACAGTTTCTCTTTCATTGCTCTTCATTTTAGGTGGGTGAACCCCGTTTCAAGGGACAGAGTTCAATCTTTCATGAGAAAATTAGCCTACATTAACAGCAAATAAAAAATCTTTCCTTTTTTATGGAAACAATTTTGATTAAGATGTATTGTCTATGGAGTGGAAATCAAAAATTCTTAACTTTTCCCAGTCAAGTTAAATCTACAGCTTTCTGTGTTTCCGTGTCAGTACAAGTAAACCCAAGAGTTAAAAACTTATCTTAAAGGAGTTGTCCATAAATCATATCATATCACGTGCACAAAAAAACTTATGACATCATTTATAGACAGCTGCCATGCAGAAAAAGCAACAACAAAGTACTATGTAAAAATTAGAAACAATGATACACATATAAAATCGACAAAAGGATGTGAGGAAATAAGCTCAGGGTAAAATACACATAGTGGTATACTACTGAATTAATTCATCAATGCATCCCATTCAAATATCACAGACTGACACCTAAGCTTCAATGCAAACTCAATGTTAGGGACAGTGCCTCCAATGTGCATTGCAGCCACTGCTCCTAACATTGAGTTGTAGGATCAAACTGACAAATCAACTAAAAGGTACAAAAATGAGCAATGCTTTTAACTATTGAAGTTGAAGCTCAGGTGTAAACCGGAACAATGAGCGCCTCAAAGACCTCCTCAAGGCCTTATGAATTCCTAAGAATATATTTCCAATGCTTTGGATTCCACCAAATGGTGACCAAGGGACCACAGCTGTGCTGCTTTCCTTGGGTGTGTCAGTTACGTCTGCTGCAGAGTTATTACGCTCACATGTGTTACCATCGACTTCATCATTCCTACTTTCCAAGACCTTACTTGAGTCAACTTCATTTGCTGCAGTCTCGGATGAAGGACCTGACGCCAGGGGCGGCTCACCACTCCTAGCCGCATGGAATTCCAGAGGACCGTTCTCAGTTTGTACGGAGACAGTGCCTTGGGGTGAAACAATCTGGAAAAAAATAGCAAGAGGGTAAGAAATAGAAGAGAGCACTTAAGTGTGTACTGAGTACACCCATAGAGGGCTTCAGTGCAAGAATGACGAACAAGAATGAATATGCTTACTGTAACACGACGTCGATTTTCTCGGCGGGAGGCTGAGTTGTGATTTCTGAGACTGCTTCGGAGAGGATAACTTATAGTTGGTTTCTGTAAAGAGAGAACAAACATAAGATTCCCATGTACCACATGTTCCAATTCTTTAATATACAAGAAGAGCTTAAACTCACCGGAGTAGAGGCAGGAGGGGTTTGCTGAAAAATTGGCAACAAACAACGCATTTTACTTGGGCGACAATCTGGAAAACAGCCATGTTTTCTCTGGTCTGGAGTATCAGGAGTTGCCAGGGAAGCATGTGTAGAGGACAACATTGTAGGTTGAGGGCTAGTTATTTCCCCCTGTAAACAAAGGATATTGTGGAATGTACTATAGGTTTACACTGTGGGCAATGTGGAGTAACAGTGAAGAAAAAAATTTAAAAAAATACTAACACAGTGATCTGGATTGGCCCTCTTCCTGTTGGTAGCAACAACCAACTGACTGGGACTATCACACGTGTCTTTCAGAATATCCTTGCGACGCATTGGCCTTCTTGCACTGCTGTCCTTCCGTAGTGTTTGCAAGTTAGCATGGTACTGGAAAGTTAAAAGAAACCAGATGAGTTCAGAACACTGGAAAATGCACAGCACTATCACAAAGTGAAAAATAATGTACCTGCTTAAGAGCCTGCTGGAGGGCTTCCAACCATTTTTTTGAGTCCTCTACACAAGCTGAAAATAAGATCAAGGTTTCTCCATGGCATGAGAGTCGAAGGACACCCTGACTTAGCACTGGCTGTACAACACATCTCTTCAGAGGAAGAATGCAGCAACACTTCAGGGCACCTGGTTGAGAGGGTGTTTTCCCTGCTCTGATTATGCAATAAATGAGCATATCAGAGAACAAAATGAAATAGCGTGGTAGGGGACGGCGCCCGTTTGATGATACCTGATGGATGATTTTTTTATTTTTTTAAAATTTAACTAGCTGACTATGGGATGTATTCTATCAAAATTGAAAACAATGGTTACTACCTTCATCAGAATGCCTTCCCTAATGAATCTTCTGCCTGGAGTAATGATGCCCGGTCTCCTATGATGCAAACTATTCTGAAGCTGAATCATCTTTTCCATGTTTTCTTGTTCTTGAACAAGGCCATTGATATGTCTGGCAGTCCCCTCTACTTCTTGAAGAGCACCTGCAAACCAGATACAAATTACATTTTTGACTAGAATATTTTTTTTAGTTAAAGGTTCTGCCTTTGAATGTACACTAGCACATACTTCGCAAAGTGTAATAATCTTGTTGGAATGGAGTAGTATGGCTCAGCACCTCTTGTAAGAGCAGACGATAACGTGGGATGCGTTGAATAGGAACAATCAAAAGGGCAGCCAATTTATTGCTTACTTCAGGCCGGGTTTCTTGACATAAAATAAATGCAGCTAACCTAGGATTACTCCTGTGCATTTCCTGCAAAGAATAACAAATCGGTTTCCTCAATTTCAAAAATGGACAGTTCGTAGAAAAAATTAAAGTCACTGAAGATTACCTGCAAAATAGTAACAATCTGCTTGTAGTCATAAGCATAAACTGAGTACAGTTTGAAGTACGGTGCCAGTTTCAAAAATGCAGCTGCTACATTTTCTGGATTTGCCTTTAGTTCATCTAAAAGTGCTCCATTAACTTTATATAAAGTTTCAATGTTACCAAACAGAGCATTCCATTCAGCTTGTGATACATAGTCTTTAGTTTTAAGGGGTTCCATGAAGAACTGAAAACAACAACATAAATTAGCACCACACAAAATCTAATCGCCACAATTTAGGAGGAAGATGAGTGTACCTTCATGATTGTCTCCAGTTGCTGAAGGTATGACGCTTCAGATGTCAAAATTTCTTGAATTGCATTGGCTCGCAGGTGACGCTCCTTCTCTTCTTGCTTCAGTCGATAAGCATCTCGGCTTACATCATCAAGGGCGCTTAAGACTGCTCAATGATAAAAATTTGTAAAAATAATTACTGGGAAACAGAGATTAGACTGAAAAGTATGATGTATGCCTGGTTAGGTACTTGCCTTTTATTCTGGTTTTCGTTGTGAGAATGTTTCTTTCATTAATAAGGGAGCGTAACTCAGCACTAAGTAGGCCCTGACTAGGGGGTGTTTGACAACCCGTAGTGTTCATGTTGGCTGCAAAAGGGGAGGATACGCTTAGTAAACAATGGTAAAACTTCAGTGACAATGACAGCACCAGAACTGAGAAACAAGCATTGAGATATGAAGGCATAGAATCCTTCAAAGTTTATGAAAAACATGAACAGCAAGGACATTGTATCAGCGTAAATGACAGCATACCTGTAACACAAGCAGGAATAAGCCCCTATTCTTCGCAAAACAAGTTGAGACGTACAACAATAAACGGTTTCTTTCCCACCGGCTTCCTGAACAAGAGCGCCACCGCCTCAAATTTCAAATCTGAAAACTGCTCCCAACCTAAAGGCAGAAAAGATACCTGGCTCGTCTCTGAAATGTGAATTTTACCGATCATTACACATACCCACTAATAAGATTACTTACTAGTAAATGGTTCGAAGCAAATGGACTTTTCTGTTTTCATACAAGTGAGCAAGTCAAATGAGTTTACCGTCTTTAGTGCTTGCTTTTCGGAGTGTGGTCGCACTGCTAGCACTCGATTTGCCATACAAATCGTTCCACGATATTTCGCATAGTAGTGCTTTAAGTTCAATAAAATGAAATTAAATCAACAAATCAACCGAATTTCATTAAAATTTGGACTTCTTAAGCGTGACAGGCATAACAAGGGAAAATGTCCTCTTGTGTTTTGGAATGTTGCGATTACGTTAAGCTTCGGTTTTCACTCCCCCCTCCACCTAGGTATTCCATCCCACACGGGTAAACAACAACAACACAACTGACTTGACCAGCCGTAAACAGAAGTTGACGTGGAGTGTCAGAATCGTTGCTATCTTTCCACAACCAATTATTTAGTTTGTTTTCACTGCGTCAATAAGTCTTCCACATTCTTCATATGCCTGAGGTTTGACATTTTCATGCAAAACTCGGCTGCTTCTCCGTCGTCACAAATCGCCAACAATAATGGGTTAGTAACACCATACAATCGTCGAACCCTGTGTCGGCTTTTGACCTTTCCTCTCAGGGTTCGATGTATTGTTGATGACAAAAACTCGATGTGACTTACCGTGACGCATCTTTCGAGTCGCCTTATGATCAAATCGCGGGTTTGGGCTCCCTATGACATTACAATTAGTGCACAGCTGCTGAAGATGATTACATGTTGTGTCATTATGTCCATGTATTCCATCTCTTCACATTTTGTATTAGGAGCCTATCTAGTAACAGTGTATTTTTACAACCTGTTTCAGAAATGTACTCTCGAATGGTAGCATGTACTGCTCTACTTCCACACTCAGTGATACTGGATCGTGGGACACAGATTTTGATGACGACCAGAACTCTGAAAGTTCTGGATTCTACGGTGATGTCAGTACCAATGTAACAAATGTCGAGAAAGCAGCTCCTGAAGTTCAGACAAAGAGTTCTGGTGTTGGTCGGGTTGCTGCTCTTGCCAAAACTGTGGCTGCATCATTGGCTGCGTCCGGCCATTCAGGTAGTAATTTAATCAGAATTTTGTAAGTTTTTTTCTGCCAGAATCCTTTAATGTCATATACTTATTGATTACCAGGCTCATCAAAGTTTCCGAGATCATTCAAGAAAAATGAGACACCATCCCATGAGGCAGTTGGGGCTGATTCTGGAAGGCGATCAGTTCAAAGGCCGTCAGAGCGCCCCCTGCTCAGGCCTCCTGCCAAACCTCTCTCCATTCAAACCATATCAGCCCCTTTTCCAGTTACTGGCCAGCAAATCCAACTTCAAAATGATAGGTTGGCAACCAAGGAAAGGGTGCCTTCTTCTAATGGTATAAATTTAAAAAGTTCTTTCACAGCTGGTTTGCCTAAACCTCCAGGCCCTGAGTAAGTGATAAAAATAATCTATATAAACTGCCTCTTTAACATGTGACAATTTCTTTTTCTGAAACAATTTAAATAAATGTTTTTCTTTGCAGATCAGAACAGGTCCAACAGGTCATTGGAGCCTTAGGTCACTTATGGTCATCAGATTCAATAAGTCTTTCCTCACAGACTCAGGTAGGCATCACATCTACACTATTCATAGATTGTTTTGTTTCCCCTTATATTTAACTCAAAATTTTGTATTTCAGAGTGACGATGACTATGAGCCAGTGCAGTCTGACTCATCACCTCAATTGCCACGCTTGAGTCCTTTGAATGGTAATTGGAATTTGCAGTGCATTGATTTGAGTATGTCCGCTCTCCATTGTTAATTTTGCAACCTGAACCTCATTCCAGACCCACATTCCACCAATGCCGCACCTCAGTCTTTTTTACATTCATCTCCCCGATCAATCATTGATCATCATACTCCAAACTGCAGCCCAGGCTACTCCAAAGCATCTGCACAATCCACGCCATTTCTTCACGGTTCAGCTGCATCTGCTGCAACGTCTCGACTTTCTCAGTGCTCAAAGAGATCTAGTGGCTGCGACAGTGTTTACAGCCCTTGCTCCAGTGGATCAAGCTTGTCTGACGGGTCCCATCATACCATCCTCCAAGTGCAGCAGAGTGTAGATGGTGTTTACGAGCCCATTGAAGAAAAACAGAAGGTTTGTGCAGATTTCTTTAAGATTCATAAGTCATTTATCTTCCCAGGGATTGGTTTGTAACTATTTTTAACTGTTCACAGATTCAAACCCATTCTCAGAGAAGCTTCCTCCATTCTAAGCAGAGTGCAGGTATGGCCCAGGTTTAGTTTAGCTCAACAAATCTTTTTTTTTTTTCCCCCTATTCTTGGTTTGCAAGTTTTGGAGGTGCATGGCTGAGTCTCCCGGTCCCGCTTAGCCACATGTCATCGTTGTGACATTATGTGGACGTTTTTTTCCCCTTCTTTCCCTGCCGGGTTGTTCTTCGGTTCTTCGGAGGCCCCTCCCCTCTCCTCTCCCCTCAGCGTCACGTGGGTGCCAGCTGCCGTAAGATGCCGTAAAGCCCCCGGGAAGGCGCGGGCAGGCGCGGCGCGGGGCGACCGCCTTTGTGCAACGGCCTCATTAACACTCATTCATTAACGTCACATTGAGGTCCAAACTTTTTAATCTTCGTCTGCCGTTGAGCGCGCCCTTTTGCAATTCAAGGTGGGCCGTATTTTCGGAGATCTCTGCGTTTGCGGTGCACGATTGCACGGTCGATGTAGCCGAAGAAAAACAAAGACGGTGGAGGGGGGGAGGGGCGCTGGAAAAAAGTGTCGACTGGGCCGAGGCAGCCGAGGCAGGGGCGGGATGCACCCATAAACAGCTGACATGCACTACGCGACGCTGCTACGCTACGCGACGCTGCTACGCTGCGCGATGGTGCGGGCGAGGCGCCTTGCGGGTAGTGCGTCGCCGGTTGGCATTGCAACATGTAGCACCCATTCCGGGCGCCGCCTGCTGCCCTCATCGTCGGCATCGTCTCGACGTCCGCCGCCACCACACTGTGGTGCACCTCTTCCTGCAGCACCTCCCGACCGCCCCAACCAGCACGATGGCGGCCTGCTTCTACTGCGGCATGGTGTGCCCCCTGCTGCAGAGCCTGGCCCGGCGCGTGGCCGAGGACGCCGCCGACCGCCTGGTGGCCCTGCACCGACGGCTGCTGTACCTGGGCCACGACATGGACGACGTCCTACCCGAGCGCGGTCCGGATCGGCCTCCCAGGGTACCCTGGGGCAGTGCGGGCGCGGGCATTGCAGGTGTGATGCATCTCTGAACTCGACCACTAGTTTTCAGCAAATTGGTATTTTTTTCAGCCAGACTCGGTTTGCTCGTTCCGCGTCGTAGATAGCTGCTGGTCTGTCTGAAAATTCCCTCGCTGCCGTGGTCCTGCTGTAGGCTGATTCCAAAACCGTGCTTCGTTGCTCTGTCTCACTCGCACTCATGTGGCGTCACTCAAGGGTGCGAGAGAGACAACGACAAAGCACTGGTTTGGATTGAGCCTGCTGCCCGTCGGGGAGGTCTCTGCTCTCTAGTCTCTGCATGGGGCCGACGGGGGCTGCTCCCGCGGCGCGGCATGGCGCGGCATGGCGCGGGCGGCACGCGCCAGTCGCAGTCCGTGCTTCCCCGCGGCCGCGACACCTCCACGTCGACGCGCCGCTGAATCTCGTTGTGCCTGCCGCGGGTTGCCTCCCAGTGTGCCCCGTGTGACTCACCTCCCCGCGATAAGGCTGAGGCTGCCTGTCGGCCGGGTGCTCCCCGAGGGAAGAGGCGAGGTGTCTCCGCGTAGGCCGTGCACGACATGCCCTGAGGCCGCGTCGCCGTCGTCGTCGCCGCGATGCTCGTCAGTGTGCAAGTCCAGCCGTCGCTGGTGCGGCGTCAGATCGAGCAGCTCCAGCAGTCGGCCGGCAAGGGGCGCCTCCCGCCGCACCTGAGCGGCACCCCACTGCGGCCGCGCCTCACCCGCGCGCGCACCAACCTGGACGCGGTGTGGCGCTCCCTCAGCGAGAACCGCGACCCCCTGGACGGCCTGGGACTCGGCCTGGGCGGCAAGGCGGCGGCCTGGGCTGATGGCGCCTTGCCGAGGCCTCGGCCGCGAGGCGGGGACGACCAAGGGAATGCCGGCGGCCTGTGCGCGGTGGCGGCCCTGGTGAGTCGGTCCGCGACGCACCTGCACCAGGCGCACCTGCGCGACGTCAAAGAGGGCACCACGACGGCGTCCCTGCGGCAGCCTCTCCGGACGATCCAGGGGACGAGTTTCGTCAAGCCGCGCGTCAAGCCCGCCGACAAGCCCGTCACCCCTTTCAAGCAGGCCGCCAAGGTAGCCACAGGCCATGCCTCGCCGGACGCTGTGTACCACACCATCGACGAGAAGGACGCCAAGCAGGCCGTGCACTACGACAAGCCCGTGTCGCCGCCCGTGCCGGTGGACCCCTCCAGGCGCAAGCGCTTCGCCGTCGACAAGCCGGACGCCCGCGAGGAACATCGCACCGCGAAGGCGCACGCCGCTGCTGCCGCCCAGGGTGCGGAGGCCCCCGCCAAGCCGAGGCCGGGCCCCAAGCCCAGCGCCAGGCCTTCCCTCGGACCGGAGCGGCACAGCACTCTGCCGCGCAAGCTGTCGGTCGCGGTCCCGCGGGTCGTGGACATCGACATCACGTCCTCAGTGATCTTGAGGAGCTCGTCCTCCCTGTCCTCGTCGCCCTGCCCGTCCTCGTCTTCGTCAACGTTGCCTCTCAAGAAGTCCGCCCGCGGATCGCACCTGTGGAAAACGTTCTCCTCATTCAACCCCGTTTCTCGCTGGGACGACTGGAGCAACTCTAGTATGTTAAAACGTCGGGTGTCTGCGTCCCATCCTTATTCCACGCCCGATATCGTATCAGTCAAAAGTTTTCCCGAGGTGCAACTGCGAACGTTCAAGTGCAGATGGCAAAAGACAGTTCTCAGGTTTCCTATTTGTTTGTTGCAGAAAAAAGTGAAAGTAAGAGGGTGACCTCCGTGAGCTCCAGCACCAAGAGCGTGCAACTAGACCAGCGGCCGCCTGTACCCAACAGACCTCTGCCTCCAACACCTAGGCCCCAACAGGAAAAACCGATTGGTAAGTTTTTAAGCTAGGTTTCATTTAGCTATTTGTACTTTTTATTTCTCAATGTAATTGATAATTTTTATATATTTTCACTAGCTGATGCTGCAAGAGGCGGACTTTTACCAGCAAATTTAGATCATCAGCCTTGGTTTCATAATGTTGATCGTAAGCAGGCTGAAGAATTAATAAAAAATGGTAATTTGGTGACTTACGTGAACTAACATAATCTGCAGTTTAATGACTACTTGTTGACCACTCCTGAACACACTACATTTTGCAGGTGTTGATGGGTACTTTCTTATCAGACCCTCATCTCAATCCCAAAACCCATTAACATTGACCCTTTGGTACAACCAACGAGTTTACAACATAAGTGTCCGTCAGAGAAAGGATGGACGCATTGCCCTTGGGTTTGAGAAGCCAGATGAGCAGGTACTTATCACATCTATAATATGAGAACCTTTGGTACTGCAGTTGGTTCCTTTGTTGGTGCCGTTTATTTTTAAGAAAATGTTTATGCATTATCTTTTCTTCTTTTCCAGAGTTTTTCATCAATTGAAGAGATGGTCATAAACTATCAATCTGAAAATCTGCTCCTCTTTAGCAGAAATGAAAGAACGGGTCGCACAGTTTTGAAAAAGTCCCCACCCAAGCTAAGCCATTGAGAAACATGTTACCTAACTATGTCATAATGTTCAACCTCCAAGAGAGTATTGCTTGATTATTTATTGGTTTTGTGATAATTTTCATTGAAACTTTTGTGATTAAAATAAGCCTTTAGAGGAGAGATTTCAATAGAATGCAAGTAGCCATACTCCCATAGAAATATCATACAACCATGATGAAAGAATTATGGCTGCTTGAATTCTGTTGGAACATCTCAGTTTAAGACTTTCCATGAACTAGAGGATATCTATTTTTAATATATTTATTGTATTAACAATTAAGATTTTTTATAACTTTTTGTATGTTTAAGCTGAATGGTACTTATTTTCTATTTTTTCTGCTTCCATGAAGCAAAAATGGTAAACAGTTTGTTCTTGAAGACTCTGTCATAAAATGACCAAAGAAGAATGCAATTGTACATTTTACAATCAAAAGAGCAGCTACAGTATTTTTAAAAAATCACCTTTGTCTAATGATGTGCCATTATTTTGTGAACTTCATTTGTCTGACTGATCCCATGTCAACTAAGGAAAAATAAAATTTCTTAGTTCCAGCTCTACATACCTTAGATTTTGTACCTTACCTTTTTTTCCTATTTCAGTCTCTGCTTTTCATAATTAATGTGGAGTGCTATGAGCAATGAAATACATCACTGTCTGGGTATGGTGTGGGTTGTTTGTGAAACGGAGATGGGGTTTGATTTTATGAAACTGAAACTCTAGCTGAACAGATTAAAATGTCTGTCATTCAAAAATATTTTAAAATGTAACTTGCCACACAGGATGTAGGATGTGGCAATACCCATGCACCAAACAATATAAATAAACATTCAAAAAGAGAAAAGACTCAACTCTAGAAAAGTAAACTATAAGACGGTGGGAAAACAAATCATAGCACCAAAATCATAATTCCTTTGATATAAACTTTATAAAAAATAACTTCTAAAATTACTTCTAGGCCCACCTCTCTAATGCTGTCTAATTTGAACATATCAACAGGTACAAGCCTAAAGAATTGAACTTGTCAGGTGAAACTGAGGTGGTGTAGGAATGCATTCAGAATCTATGAAACCCAAGCTGCTAATGCACTGCGGATCCCTGCTGCAAAGGGTGTATGCCTACCTATGCCCAGAGATTCAAGGCGAGAACGATCAAGCTGAGTATCATACGGGCGGCTGACAGGTTGATTAGAAACTTCACTTGGAACAGGTGCCTTTGAAAGGTGAGCAGCAGGAAGGCTGAAAACTTCACTCATGATCTGGACCATGTCAAATTTGGTGAAGACTTCAGACCCACACCACTGGAAAATACCACTGACAGCAGCACTCTGGGACACAAATGAAAGGAAATCAATGAGGTAAATGCAGTCAAAATTTGATTGATTGATAAATTTGGCAAAATACAAACCTGTAGTCTTGATTCAGCAAGATTGAGACACACATCAGCAATGTCATCCACATGAGAAGGACATCTTTTCTCATAGTCAGAGACCTTGGTTGGTTTCGCTACATTCAAAAGTGGTTCCAGCAAACATGTGACAGCACTTTCAGAAAGTTTTTCAACTGGTCCATACAAAACAGGTATACGAAGGACCAAGTGCTCTGCAATAAAAATTATCCTTAGGACATAAAGTGCTATGGCCACATAAATTCAATGAAATACAGTACATTCCATGTACACTCAAAAAAGTGAACCTTTATTGGCAGCAAGGACCACTTCTTCACCCTCGAGCTTGAGTTTCCCATATTCATTTATAGGGTTTGGTTTGTCATCAATCTTAAAAGGAGGATTGCTACCGTCAAATACATAATCTGTGCTTATGTATAGGAGTGGTATATCGTACTTATCTGAAACATTTTTTTTTAATACACGAAATAATATCAAAATTTCTCATGAGCAACACCATAGTGAATAATTGATTTACCTGCAGTTTCAGCTAAATGGAAAGTTGTATCCACATTTAGACGGCGTGCAGCCTCTGGTTCAGCACTGACTTTGTCGGGGAACCTCTGTGCCGCAGAATGAATAATAAATGTGGGTTTAAACTTGGTGATAGCTGTTGTTATGGCTCCAAAGTCTGTGAGGTCTAGTTTATTCAATTCGGGTCCAGTTCTGAAAGCACATAGAATGTTGCTTTGGGATATGATCGGCAATAAGTCAAAAATGAATCTGATGAGTACATACAAACGTAAGTCTCACAGATAGAACATATAAAAAATGTAGAATGGGCAACGTATGGAACATGTTAAAATACTACGAGAGTGGTGAGCAGAATCATCACTATCGGAATAGTGAAAATCAACTAACCTGGTCAAAGAAGTTCCAAACACGATCCAGCCGGCATCTTTGAACATGCGATGGATAGCTCTCCCTAACAAACCTGAGGCTCCCGTAAGGAACAGTCTCTTTTCGGATTTGTTGGCCATGGCGTACAAGATCTAAACTGTCATGCCAACCCAAATTGTGACCCCGGAACGCCGAATGAAGGTCAACCCGACAGCCGGTCAGCAGAAAAGCAACAAACATAAACAAACAGGTGTGTACAGTATGTGCACTGAAAATAAGACGATCTTCGACTATTTGCACTTCGAGGGAGGGACTTTCAATCAAGGTCGCTGGACTGCCACCTTGGCTTGGCAAGGCTCCCTCCGACTGGCCCGGCCTTCAAGTTTCGAAGAACATGAGCCCCGTCGCGTCGGGACGGTGGTTTCACAAAAATGCGCAAAAATGTGGAGCAGTGGCCACGGTGGCCACAAAACAGATCATGTTGAAATATGAGCCAGGTTTTCTGTTTTTCTGCCTGTATGGCGACGTAGGTGACGTGAACGAAACGGAAAGGTGCTCGCAAATCCCCTCATACTGGGCTCAAAATTTGACATTTGCTTGTAATTGTGGCATAGTTTACGGAGCACTGCGCGGAAAGAGTCTACCTTGCTTCTATAACGCACAATTATTCTCCAAAAACATGCCCTTACGCCCCGCTCGCCGAGCAGTGCGGCATAAGTCTGTCATTTCGGCGTCCGGAGCCGTTTTCCCGTACTCATTTAGGGACGTTCCCCGGCCCCTACCTGGTTCAAAATTTGGCATTTGGTTGTGATTGTGGCATAGTTTGCGGAGCACTGCGTGAAAAGAGTCTAGCGCGCTTCATTTTTGCAACATGTATCGTCAAAAACCCCTGTGCGTGCTAAACTGGTACCGCCGCGGCTCGCCGGCCGAGCTGCAATGTCCCCAAAAAAATCGATTATCTCAAACTCCAGGTCAAATTTGAAAAATCGACCACCTGGAGCGTGTTCAGGACCCTCCACTTTATTGATCCCGCCGAAGACGCAACTCGTTCTGCGCACCGTTAAGGATTTGGACGGCTTTGAACACCATCTTGTTAAATTTCCCGAAATTTGGACTTTGAGACCTCGCAGAATCGGCCTCAGTCGCAATTTTGGCAAGTGCTCGACGGCAACGTGATCTTTGAACCCTTCTTAAGCAACCCTGACAATTTGGTTTGAAAATTCCAACTGGAAGTCCCACATTTGGGCCAAAACTCGCGGCCGCGACGTGGAAACCACCGCCGTGCGCTGCGGGTTGCCTACCCGACATTCCCGTAAGGCGCCATGTTAAATTTAACCCTTCATAACTTTTTTCCTAAGGGATAAAAAAAATGCGTCTGCGGGTCAAAACGTTTCTTTTGGCCCTAACTATCGATGTGCAAAGCGGCATTGCATGCGGAAAAAGTGCAGGGTCCGGCCTTTTTGTTGGACTAACACCGGCCACTAGTAGAGCCCTGCGAAGTCTTGTGTGGGCAGGCGAGGAATTTATTGTTTCTCTGGTTCTGGTGTAAGCAAGCCCGAGTAACAGCAGGACATAGATGCAATTTTCCCCCCAGAAGATTTTAAAAAAAACACACACATCTATTTATTTTACAAACGTTAGTTTATTTACAAAAGGAAACCAACAAAAATTTTCAACAAATAAAAATAACAATTACAATAACAACAGCACAGGCGTTTGAAACGTGCACTCGTGTGCACGGCGGACGCTTTGCCTCGATGCGGTAACATTGGCTTTGTACTTGTTGACGGGGTGCAGAGGGAGGCTCGGGGCGTGGACGAGGCGTGGCCGCCCCGCCCGGCGTTTAGGTCGTCACACTGTCCGGGGATAGAGCTAGGCTGGTGAGGACGCTCCTCCTATTGGGATGCACGCCGAGGTTCTCCCAGTTGATCCACGATAGGCGAGCGGTCAGATCTGTAGGTACACACAACAAAAACAGTTGTTTGACTTCACCAGTCTTGGGACGGCAAACAAGCGGAGCCCGCGGGTAGAACGGGGTATCCGGGTATGCGGGTAATTTAGAGCACCCATTACCCCTTCGGAGATGTAGGGCTCTACTGGCTATCGCCCTGGCAATAGGCAACACGCAGAGCGCTCGCGTTGGCCGTGTTGCCTGTTATTTGGGCTGTCTCCGGGTATACCCGCAAACCCGGGCCCACTACGTACTCGCTTCTACCGGCGGACCCGGGCCTCAGCCTGGCGACCCGGGAACCCGCGGTCCGGGGCCCTACAGTGCACTCACCGCTCGTGTTCCACTCGGCACGGCTGTCCGTGCCGCCGCGAAGGGTGCGCTCCACGTAGGTGAGCGGGTCGCACTCGGCGGTCAGCAGCTCCCGCAGCAGCGCGATGTAGGCGATGGCCAGGCGCAGCGTGTCGATCTTGGACAGGCGCTTCTCGTAGGGGAACGTGGGCACGTGCACGCGCAGCTCGTCGAACGCAGAGTTGATGCTGCTGAAAGCCAACCGGAATGTCAGCATGATGCCGAGGCGCCGAGGCAGTCGTCATGCCTGCCTGGCCTCCGGGATCCCGGGTCGCTGCAGCCTGGCTCAGGCCACACCGATTTTTGTTACGGCTCCCCCGGTTTAGTTTGACATGAATCGACGGTCGACTGCACCGGAACATAAACCCCATGCCGCCCGCAGATCTCAGGTTAGCCCACCGCCACGGCCGCGCGCAGGCCTGCGCACCGGGTTGCCTACCCTGCGGTCTGCGGGCGCACTGGCGCGCTGGACCACAATTTATCGTCTGCCATTTCGGGCCCAGCACAGTCACGTTTGCCTTGCACAACATGACAGATCTTCCGTACAAACAGCAGGTACCTTATCTCGGTGGCCCCGAGCACTAAGCTGCACTCCACCAGTTCGCAGTGAGAGCGCCGCGTGTTCTGCCGCAGCACAGTGGGCCAGAATACCGGCGCATGGGCCAAACAAAACTCAAGACCCGTTTTGAGCTCCAGAGTAGCTAAACAGGCCTCGAACTTAACGTGTGACCCCCCACCAATGGACTGCTCTCCGAACGAGGAATCCATTGGTGGGGTCATATGTTTAGGCGCCCGCGTCGGTCTTCTGGTCCACTGTGCGCTGCTTCGCTGAGACACAGCGAGCGTGAAAAAGTGAATCGAACACGTTGGACAGGCACATATTGCCGAGTTCCAAAAGGCAATCCTTATCGTCGGTTCAAATTTTGTCGCCCAATCGACAATCCAGCGTTTATGATTGGAACCATTCTAAACTAATTTCTAGTCGGTAATCACGATAATGTACAATTGACACTGGCTACACCGCATCACTCCAAAACTTGAAAAAAAAAATAATCGAGGCTACGAACTAGTTTCTACGTATTGTTCTAGATACAAGTGAACCAAAATGTTGACCAAACCTCCAAAATGTTAATACGACGAGTAAACACAGAAAAGAAAAGACAACACGCACACGTATCTAACTCGTCAACTCTTCGCATTGAAAGAACAGTCGGATGCTGCTAATTTTATTCTAAGACACCATGAACTACGGTGACAAGTGTGTGCTGAGCTCAGCGCTGCCAGATTATGGCATGCAACTTGTCACCAGATCACTGAGAAAGTTAAAAGGTCGTGACTGAATTTTCTTCACTTTGTTAGACGCACCCTTGCATTTTTTTTCAGTCTCGGATTTATGGCAAAACTTCGAAGTCCATCGCCTCATCAGGGCGATTTCGAGAGTGATTGATCGACAATAAAAAAATTGTGCGGATCTATGACTGAACCGACTGTGGCGTACCTAGAGTGACCTGGTGACCTCTACGTTGGCAACACTGAGCCTGAACTGAGTTTGACAGTTTGACAGGGAATTGGCAACACTGAGCCTGGCTCACATTTTGACGGGCGGTCTGTCGGGACCCGACCTCTGCATGCGCCGCCGCTCCCGGACGTTGGCGGCGTGGCGCTGCACGCGGTAGGGCGGCATGGAGGGCGAGTGCGGCCCGTGGCCCTGGTGGCCCTGGCCGTGGCCGTGGCCAAGCACCCCGCCAACGTGGTGCGAGCCCATGCCGGCGCCCAGGGGCGAGCCCATCATGCCGTCATCACACACCTCGCCGCCCCCGGAGCCACACGCGCCGTCGTCTGGAAGAAAGCGAGTCGTCAGTTGACGCGAATAGGGTCAGTTGGGGTAATTATGGAACACAGGGTAAAAATGGGACAGCTGATTCTTAGTCAAGGTTTGACATTTTTGAACGCATGACATACCAAATGTGATGTTTTTATTGAGAAAATAACATTTGCTACGGCACAAGTTCTCTCGATTCTTGACTGAGGATCAGCTGTCCCATTTTTACCCCGTGTCCCATAATTACCCCAACTGACCCTACGCGAGCTGCGCGAGCTGCAGGCTGATTCCGAGAGTCGTTTTCGTCGCTCTATCTCCCTCGCACTCATGGGGCGTCGCGTAGGTGCAAGCGAGACAGAGCGATGAAAACGACTGTCGGAGTCAGTCTGCAGGTCTCGGTGACCGGCCTCGGCCTCACCTTGCATGTTGAGGAAGTGCATCTGCTGCGAGGGCCCCGCGGCCTGGAGGTGGCCGTGCGGCCCCGGCGGCCCCGGCGAGCCTCCGCCGTGGTGCGGCACCATGCCCGTGCCGGCCATGAGGCGCGTCGCGTAGGCGCACGACGGCAGCGCGCCGGGCATGCCGCCGCCCAGCCCCAGCGAGCCGTGCGAAGCGTGCGAGGCCCCGCCGTGCCCCATGGGGCCCACGGCGTGCGCCAGTGTGGCGGACAGCTCCTCGTCGGACAGCTCCAGCCCCGCCAGGGCGCTGTCCTCGTCCACGAAGGAGGACAGGTGTTGATGGTGATGATGATGGTGGTGGCCGTGGTGGGCGTGCGAGCCCAGGGTCCGCGTCGACGGACCACCGCCAGTGCTGCAAACAAAATGATCAGCCACTGTAGCAACCAACACAAGGATCCACTTCGAAGAACGCTGGGAAAACGGTGCCATTTTCAAGACGAGCCTGCCTCGGCCTCGGCTGGCACTTGCCTGGAGTGGTACGGCGTGGGCGACGTGGACGACGAGTCGGCGTGCGTGGTGACGACGCGCACGCCCCGCGACGTGGACGACGGCTGGGGGCTGCTGCACCGACTGTCGCCCTTGCTGCCGCCGCCTCCGAGACCCCCACTGCTGCTGCTGCTGCTCACCACCGCGGCCGTGACGGTCGTGTTCTGCTGCTGGAACCGGAACACGAGCTCCCTGGACAACGTGGACGTGACTGAGGAAGTGTTCCTCATGCTGGCTGTCCTCGATCAGGTCATGGTCCTTGACGGCGTCCTCGACGGCGTCCTCGACGGCGTCCTCGACGGCGTCCTCGACGGCGTGCTGGCGATTCGCGGACTGAGCCGCTCCCTTGAGGGTGGCCGCGTTTTATCCAGGGTGGCGGTGGGCGTGGCCTCGCCGCGGCCTGGACCGGAGCGCGCCGGCCATTGGCCCGCGGCGTGGCAGAGCTGCGCGGCGCCGGGCTGCCATTGGCTGCTGCGGGGCGCCGCGTATCTGGCGGTATCGACCAGCCCTCACGTCGCTTGCAGGCACTGCCATGGCACTGCCGGTACTGCAGGCTCGCCGCAACGCGCGCCCTTTGGCCCGGGGCCCGGCCAGACCCTTGGCCAGCCCAGCCCCGACCCCACATCATCATCATCATCATCAGCGCTGTTAGGCCTATGCAGACCTTCCGACCCAATTAGCAGCAAGACTTGAAAACAGGAGAGAAAGGTTTTTGAAAATCAGGTTGAAGATTTTATCCGCCGTTAAAATCGACACCGACTGTCTACTCGTATCAAAGTCATCTCACAACGTAACCGCACTTAGCTTGGGAGCATCGGCTTCTCAATGTTGGTCAAAATGCCAACAAACTTCTGACAGTTTCGAAATTTGTTTACTTTCGGCCGTTGCATCCAACCTGCCTTTGGTCGAGGTCTTCCTGCGACGGGCTGGTACCCTTAAGACCCTCCTCTGTCTTATGCCCCGCCTCGGGAGAGCGCCTTGACCGACGCTGAATAGTTTGGGAGCAGTGTTGCCGCAAAGTTACTGGCAACAGCTGAGCGATTCAGAAGAGTAAGTTCGTCGCTCTGTCTCTCTCGCACTCATGGGACTCCTCCGTAAGAGTGCGAGTGAGACAGAGCGACAAACCAATTTTCTGAATCGCTCGCGGCAGCCACAAAAGCTTCTTTTGCTGCGACCATAGCACACTGTAGGACCTGAAGGTCCACTTCGTGGTGCTCCGGTGCTGGGCGTGGCTGGGGGCCGCGGGGTGGGCCGCAGCGTGCCGCCGACAGGCCCTTCACGCCAGACGCAGGCACTGTCTGCGCGTAACGCCCTGCCCGCCCCTGCCCGCCCCGCCCGCGCCCGCAGCCCCAGCAACCCCCAATGGAGCCTCCCTTCCGAATCGCTGCCCGTGCGCCTTGCGAGGCCTCACTCCTCTCTCCTCACTCAGCAGCGTATTGATCCGCATCTCACCAAAGTGGATCTCTACTCCACCAAGAGTTGGTGAGCCCCTCGTCACAGTGGATTCCCTTCGCATCCCGCCAATCCTGGAGCTTTCTTACTTCAGAGTACGTATAACGTATTTTCGGCAGGTTTTCGATCGCAATGATTTCCTTATATTTTTGCTTTACTCTGGCCCACCCTCTAACTCGATTAGGCTCATCATGCTGGTGTGGGAATAAGACAAGCACCCGCCCGCACCTGGGCTGAGCCGGCTTCTCTGGTAAAACAAAGGCATAAAAATTACGCCCTCTAGGGCATAAATAGTCTTTTACGCCCTTCCCAAGGGCATAAATCGTTTTATGCCCTTGGGAAGGGCGTAAATGGTATACGAATTTCAAGCAAAATTTTAATGCCCTTCCCAAAGGCATTAAACCTAGAGGTCACCTGCGTGACCTCCTGGGTACGGGTACGCGCGCCTGTTGCCCGACACTTACAGGTCGGGGATGTTCGTATTTCTTCTGCCGACTTACACGGGCAAAGCAGTGCTTTTAGCTCGTTTTAGCCTACCTCCCAGAAAGCCTGTCTCGCACCCCAGGAAAGGGTAACTACCCCCAAAACCCCTCCCCCGGATCCGCCCCTGGACCGAGGCGCGCGACGGGAAGCGGCGCGCCCTCCGCGCGCGTGCGGCGTGCGGCGTGCGGGGGCGGGGGTCGGCGGGGGCGTCGCCTCGAAGGCGGGGCAGCGGAGCGGCCAGCGACTTGAACGCCGGGCAGCGCGACGCACTGGGCGGACGCGCGGGCGCATGGGAAGTGGCCTGACAGTGCCGTCGTCGCTCCGTCTCTCTCGCACTCATGGAGCGTCCACGCGTGAGTGCGAGAGAGACAGATAGCGACATTACACAGGCTGTGCGGCAATGAGAAAGTTTTCATCGCGATCGCCGATTAGATGTAAAGCGGCGGGGTGCGGAGGGGAGCGAGGGGTAGTTTAACCTTTGACAAACCGGACAATTGGCCACAATGAATACACACAGACGAGAGGCACCCCCGCGTTCCCAGCGCTCCCCCACCCCTCCCTGTCAACACGTATCCCCCAGTGAGCCTCGCGAGCCTCGCGCCGGCCGCCGACCAGCGCCGACCCCACGACGCGGCGCCGTTTACCCATTCATTGGCCAATGGTCGTGTTCCGCCTGTTCCGCCTCCGGCAACACCTCCGGCGGCCAGACTCCGGACTCCGGCCGGCAGGACCACCTACCCGGTGTGTGTTTGCTTGTGTGTTTTGCGGAGAGGGCGGCCCGGCCCGCGTGGGAGCTGCACGCTCGTCCGCACGGGGAAGGCGAAGGGGTGTACAACAAACGCGGAAAGAAGCTGAGCAAATGTTTGCTGCGGTATTCGAACCCACGGACCCGCACCACCAAACCAGGTGCCTCATGCTGAGGTGAAATATTCTCAAGGGATTCTACGCTTCACCCGGGGGTTCGTCGAAAACCGAGTACTAGCGCAGTTCTGTTATATTATTTTTTGTGACGTTTTGTACTGGTTAACTCCACACCGGCTCTCACACTGCTTGGAGAGCTGCGCGCGCGATTCAAATTAAGATGTAGGCCGCTAAGCGCTCCAAATCCAAATCCGGCCTCTTGTTTGAATGTCTACGTGTCGCGCGCAACCGCGGCCCGCGAGCACGCGGGGGGAGGGGAGGGGAGGCGAGGGGAGGGGAGGGGAGGCGAGGGGAGGGGAGGGGAGGGGAGGGCGGCGCCGGGATAGAAACCGTATCGCTAATTATTCATATCACACGCGTTGACACGCTTATTCAAAGTGGCCCAATTCTGTGTGAATCGTCCGAGTGGAGGGTGCGGAGGGTGTGGTCAGGGAAGGGAGGGAACGGCGGGGACAAAAATAAAAATAGGAACGAGCTTTCGGAATACGCTCGTAGAAGTCGTCAAAGACGTGCCATAGCCTCACAGGTAGCGACACAGCGACACAGAGACACGTCGACTGTCCAGAAGAAACCTCTCGAAAGGTGTCTGGGGCATGTTCCGGTGATTTAAGTCATACCCAGAAGATACCTCTCCAAAGGTGCCAGAACTGCGGGTCCTATCAGGCACCATTATACACAAGGATTTTTCAGTTCACGGCGTCCTGCTTGTAAAGGGAAAAACCAAAATGTGTAAAATGTTGAAAAGTCTTGAATCAGTTTCTATCGGAGGAGGCGTTCTGTCCTTGCCTCCTGTTTACTCGAAAACCACGGACCTCGATCGGCAGAAGGCCATTCCTGGTCTAGCCTACCTTGTTCCTGTTCCAGTGCAGGGGCCGGCCTCCCAGTTCGGGGTGCATGCATGCGTGGGGAAGAGAGGCGTCGTGTGAGGCGAACCGCGGCGCGGCAATGCGCGTGGCCCGGTTCGCGGGTTTGCGCGTTGCGGGGGCATCTTGCGGTAAGATGTGGCGAGGGTGTTTACCCACCGGATGACACGGTCATTCGACAAGCTCGGCGCCGCCACGCCGCCGCTCCGTTCCCACAGCTCCCCCACCCCCCGTCCCAGCCTCCACCAGCCGGCCCCACCCTCCCTCGCGCCGCCACCACCCCGCCAGCGCCAGCCAGCGCCAACCAACACTGATTTTCCGCCTCATGTGTTGCCGGTCATATGCTCTACTTAGCCTCGTCACTTCCCTCCCCGGGGCGAGGCGGGGCGAGGCGCAGGTCTGTGTGAATTGTTTGTTGGCCCACGCGACCGGCCTTTGTCTGCCTTTGTCGTCGCGCGAATAAAATGATGGGTGTGGCCGCGGCAGTGTAGCGGCAGTGTAGCGGCAGTGTAGCGGCAGTGTAGCGGCAGTAGCGGCAGTGCAGCGGCAGTGTAGCGGCAGTGTAGCGGCAGTGTAGCGGCAGTAGCGGCAGTGTAGCGGCAGTGTAGCGGCAGTGTAGCGGCAGTGTAGCGGCAGTGTAGCGGCAGTGTAGCGGCAGTGTAGCGGCAGTGTAGCGGCAGTGTAGCGGAAGTGTAGCGGCAGTGTAGCGGCAGTGTAGCGGCAGAGTAGCGGCAGTGTAGCGGCAGTGTAGCGGCAGTGTAGCGGCAGTGTAGCGGCAGAGTAGCGCCGCGCGTTCCGCCGTTCGTCTGTTCGGCTTTGGAGGTTGCGAACGGCCCGAACGACCCCCGCGAAGAAGGTGCCCCCCCTCCCCCCGGGACGCACTGACAAACCCCGCGCGTAACTTCGAACGACGCTGAAACGGAAATTTAAATCGTGTTTGTGGTTGCATGATATTGATTACGGCCTTGTTCAGTCAGGTTCAGGCATCGACCAGGGCCGTTTGCGTGGAGGTGAACTGCCCGTCCAGCGGGCCGCATCCTTTTTCTGTCACACAGCTCCAGCTCGCGACTTTGTCCAAAAGCACACACGCAGGCACTCACTCACACACACACACACACACACACACACACACACACACACACACACACACACACACACACACACACACACACACACACACACACACGTGCGCCATGCCATCCCAATGACCCTCGAGGCCCTCGAGTACAGGCACCAGCCTCGGACAAGGGGAGGGAAGGTGCTTGCGGACGATAAACGATCGTCGCGGCCACCCGCCACGGGCCTCCCCTCCCCTCCCCTCCCCTCCGCGCTACCCCACCCCCTCCGACCCGCGCACCCTCTTCAGCATCCGAGAGCGCGGCGTGGTAACTAAGTTTGACGTAGTTTGACGGGATCTCGCGGTCACCGCCGGTGCATGTGTGTGTTTGTGTGCTGGAGATGGGATCAGACAGCGGCGGGTGGGCAGTGACACGCAGTGATGTGTTATTTGTATCCGCCGAGCGTGTCACGTCTCCGTCCGATCTCCGTCCCCCCGGTCCCCCGCCGCCCGTCGGACTGAATGGTCGTGAAAGGGAAGCCCCAAGCCACGCCGCATTTGCGAACTCATGCGCCAAAATCGAGCCGATTTCGTTTGTTGACGCTACCGTCGCTTGTTCGGGGCGAGTCGCCCGAAACGCGGGGCTCTTGAGGTTCGGTCCACCGCGTGCTGTGTGCCCAGTAGATCCCCCATTTCCTTCCAGCCGCCAGCGATCTTCCACATGCAAATAAAATTATATTTTCTCTGCAAAATTTGCCGGTTCGTGATGCGCTGCACACGTGTGCATCTCACGCTGCCCCGTTCTCCAGCAGACTGATTCCGTGAGTCGTTTAGTTTATCTCGCTCTGTCTCGCTCGCACTCATGGGGCGTTCCTTACGGGTGCGAGAGAGACAGAGCGACGAAAACGGAATCAGTCTGCAGGCAGAGCCCGCCGCAGCCACCCCGTGCGCGGCGTGGACAATTGGAGAGTGCGGCCGACGGCAAGCCTTGCAGTGCTCGCAGTGCTTGCAGCACGGGCCGTCGGGCACGCGGCCGCACTGCTCGGCACGCGACCGCCAATTGAAATGGGGCCGCACGGGGCCGGGCGGGCCGGGCAGGCCGGGCGCGTGGCGTGCCAAGCGCAGCTCGGGGCGCCGCACGCAGCCGCACGCGGACGACGCGCACGCCACGTGGGCCGATAGATTTGTCACGCTGTTTCCCGCCGCAAGCATGTTTGGCAATGCACCCGCCAAACGCATCCCCAGTAGCGTTTGAGTAGCGCCCGCAACTGCACTCAGTATTCATACATAGCAGGTGATATCTTTAAACGCAGAAAAGTGAAAGATACGAAAAGGTATCATCAAGCTTTAATTTTTTTAATACGCTGTTGCGAAGGGGTGGGGGAGTAATGGGGTAACCCCCTCCATGGGTACTAACTAGATAGACCTAGATCAAGGGGTGACCCACTGTAAAATTTTGTGTACAATGATTGTGTGAATGTGCAAGAATGTGCAGGATTTCTGGCGTTTTTGCCACACATGTTGCCTACTTACAGGCGTTTTTGCCACCTGAATGTGGAATGTGGTCAAATTTTGTACAATGAATGTTGGAAGCTGTTGACCTAGATAGAGAGGGGGAATGCGAGTTTCTAGATACAGTTGTTTGGTGAGGGATATGGAGAGGAGCGCTCCCATTCATGCACCTCGCGGTAGTGGTGGGAACGGTGGATGGACCGAAGGCGGGCTCGGGGCTCCGCTCCGCGATCCCCCGTCCCCCGCTGCTCCTACCTCTCCATCCCTCATCCAACAACTGTGTAGATACCCGCATTTTATCCTCTCTCTAGAGCCCCACATTACACCTCGGAGTGTAGAGGATGAAGGCCTCTAGATACGGTTACACGTCTTTGCCCCTGTAAGTAGGCAAGAATCGCTACACTACCCCCTCCTTAGAAATACCCTGGATCCGCGCCTGGGCACGCCTGGGCACGCCTGGGCTGCCGCTACCGAAATAAATTAAGCTGCCCATAATTTTTCCCCTTTTGATTTTCACTGTCACTCTCGCACAGAAATAATTTTGGTCGTTTGAAACCTGGACCGGGTCCGAAGGCTGTCCGAACGCCCCAGTCCAAAATTCCCGCCACTCCCGCAGGTGGGAACGGCGTTTCCTAGAAGGCGTGGAGCTGTCAAGCGGCCATGTTGGAAATTGTTATCAGCTGATGGGGAGAGACGTTGCGACGCGAAACATTTGTAACTTTTAATCTCCGAGCATCGGTGTCCATTTAGAATTTTTAGAGGTTTTAGTCGCCACCAAAACGGCCATGAATAATTTCGTGAATATGTGGAGAGTACGGGAGTTGGCGGATAAAGTGTAAGTACACTTTCGTTTGGTATTCGAGGCCCAACCTATATGTTATTTTTGAGATCTGTTTAGGCTTATGATGCAATTATTATTTACCTTTTCATTGAAATAAAGGAGTTACCCTCTGACCCGTTTTCTAATTACTCCAAGTACGGTTTCGATTTATTATTAAATAGTTGGCCTTGTACTTATTTCAATTGGTATCAGAAATGTCACTTGAAAGGGTTGCAATCTGTCTCAGCCTTTTTGTTGTCATAGCCTTGACAGTGCATTAGTTTTGACACGGCCTGATTTCCCTTCGTATTTCACGGCCGTACAATGGATTCAATTTAACTTTTTCATTCAATTTGTATTACTTTTTCCATGTGTGTGGCTCATTGTCACCTTTTACTGTTTTATTCTTCTATCTGACCTGTTAGGTATCTGTCAAAATGTCAGGTTATATCAACAGGTGCTGTTAAATTTGTCTTTTTTTATTTTATTTTTGAACATGGCTATTTCATTGAAAGGAAAATCTAAATGAGAATCTTGTGGGGAACAAGTTTTACTTTTTGCTGTGCTATTTTTGTTCTCAATTCGTACCTTTTTGAAGATGTATTTCCGATCAGTGGTAATTTGTACCGAGTTTGAACTTTCCTCTTTTACTTTTCCAGTACGAATGTAGTAATGAATTACACTGAAATTGAAGCTAAAGTAAGAGAAGCAACAAATGATGAAGCGTGGGGACCCACAGGTATTTACCAAAGCTTAATTGCTTTTTTACTTTATTTGTGCGTAATTATAGAAGGAAATTAACCTTTTCCTTAATCTTCCAGGAGCATTAATGCAAGAGATAGCTCAAGCTACGTTTACATACGAACACTTTCCAGAAGTAATGCAGATGCTTTGGAAAAGAATGCTACAGGATAACAAGAAAAATTGGAGGAGAACTTATAAGGTGAGTCCATTCTGTTGTGTTTTCTGTTAATAAGGGAATGTGGTAATGTGTATTTTAGTAAAATGGTTTTCAAATTTATGTCAATTATTTTTTTTCCCTTTTTCAGTCACTTTTACTTCTGAACTACCTTGTGAAAAATGGATCTGAAAGGGTAGTAACAGCTGCAAGAGAGCATGTATATGATCTTCGCTCATTAGAGAATTATACCTATGTGGATGATTTGGGGAAAGACCAAGGTGTTAATATCCGCCACAAAGTTAAAGAGCTGATGGACTTTGTTCAGGATGATGATCGTTTACGAGAAGAACGTAAGAAAGCTAAGAAGAATAAAGACAAATATGTGGGAATGTCCAGTGGAGCTATGGGGGGTCGCTATGGTAAGCCAGTTTTAATCTTTGAATAGCATCATCTTGGTTGTAAATTACTTTAAATTTGAACTATTTTTATGTATGCAGGAGGTGATAGGTGGGAGGAACCTCGATGGAGACGAGAAGAGTCAGGTGATGGGTGGGGCGGTGGTGGCAGCAGTGAGCGAACTCAAGGCTTTGAAGAAAAGTCATCCAACCACAGGTAAATTTGGAATTCTGCTGAGTTACTCTTTATAGTTTGTTGAAAGAACATATGACTACTCATTTCATTCTGTTTTAGTGATGAGGGAGGTTATGAATCTGATCCAGAAATTAGCAATCCAAGGTCTAGGAATTATGACAGAGAACGTGGAAGTGGAAGTGGCAAAGAATACAAAGACAATGACAGCATTGGTTCTGGAAGTGCTGTCTCGTCCCCAACAACTCCTTCTGAGAGGGGTCCAAAATCTGTCACATCTCCTATCAAAAAGTCTTCCCAGCCTAGTAAGAAAGTTGACTTGGGAGCAGCTGCTCAGTACGCCAAGGTTTGTTTGTTGCTGCCACTTGACTTGTTTTTCCAATTGTCTTCTTTTTCTGTGCCCTTTGTGACACATTGGACAGTGATAATAACTAGTTTCTTCATTCTTCTAAAGGCAAATTCAAATACAATCAAACAGTCAAATTCATCTCAGAATGCGTCTGATCTCTTTGCGGATTTTGGAAAAGATGTTTCTGCCACATCTCAATCAGATGACTTCTTCAACCCTCGGGGAGGAGCTGTTTCACTGCCTGGTGAATCAGCTGATTTTGGTGATTTCACCAGTGCATTTGGTAATGAATCAAATGCTCCAGATACTACTCGAGTGAAGTAAGTTTTACTTTGTTACTAAATTTCTTTCAGTATACTTAACTGACAGCACTTCAACCTTAATTTATTTCTTTGTAGGGGAGAAACTGATGAGTTTGCTGATTTCGGCTCAGCCTTTACAAGTACCTCAGGGAACAGTGGAGGCAACTCACTTCCTGCTTTTGCAGCATCAGGCAATGCTCCTGTACAAAACCAGAACTTGAATAATGGAAACATAATAAGCTCATCAAGTAAGGAATGCTGAGGCATTGTATTCTTCACCTTTACAATCTGTCTTTATAAATTCTGCTATTATCTATGATTTTCTTTGAACAGATGATATGGGTTTGCTGAATTCTGACCTGTTAGGTGGATTATCCAGTAGCTTTTCATCCTTATCGACTGGTGGTGGTATGAACAATGGCAGTGTTGACACCAAAAACAACAGCAACCTCTTGGATGATGCATTTAGTTCTGGTGAGTTAATTATTATTAGCTTTGTGTTTTGCAAGTTCGTGTGTGTATGTGAGTTAGTGAATCTGCGAGAGATCTTGTGATGGGATGGGTGAAGCTTTTCTGCACATGCACTTATGCATGCTAAACATCTTTTTCTCTTCAATGTTATTATAAATGAAGATATATCTGAAACACATTTTTTTTTGTTTCTTTTGATATCTTTATTATGAAGTAGTAGCCAACAAAGTTAGGTTTGTCGCTTGTACAGAGTGGGAGTCTGGTTTGGACCGTGCCATTGTGACCCTGCTTGACGACTTGGCCTTGAAGAAGTTACCTCATAGACCCTCTGAAGACTGCTTGCAACAAATATGTCAATACCTCCCTGGCATCATCACAACCCAACGGCTTGAGGGTCTGGATGAAGAGAATATTGTCTTGAAGGAAACTTGGAACAAACGCTATCTGGAATTAATTGGTGTTCTCGTTGCGAGAATAAGCAGTGACTGGCCTTTAGATTCAAGTGGCGCTCTCGACAAGTACTTTGCACAAATAATAGCACCTGAAGGAGCATCATCTGCTATGCTTTTTCAGTCTTTAAAGTCTCTGACAATTTTTTTACATAACATGCCCCTGTCTGGAAGGTGTCATGCTGTTGTAGCTCTGTTAGTTCATCTAGTTCAAGGTTCTGCTGTGTTTTCAGCCACCTTGATGAGTTGTGTTAATATATCCTCAATAGAAGATCCTCTAGAGCAGCATATTGTAAGGGAAATGTGGGAGGAGTGTGTAAGGTTGCTAGTGTCTCTACCCAATCGTGCCGCCAATGTAATGAAAAGCAGTACCCCTGTTAATATTTTACCAGTCAAGTTTACAAAAACTCTTTGTTATCATGTTGCTTGCTGTTTATCATACATAGCCAATTCAGAGAGGCAAATCAGCATTGTTCCTGTTTCAATTCTTGTGAATCGCATTCTAGTTGATTTTAAACCCCATAACAATGACAGCGGTGTTGCAATGTTAATCCGAGCAATAACAAAGTGGTGTGCTATGGACTTGGCTAAAGTACGCTCTGTAGTTCCAGCATTGTTAACCAGCTTGAATAAGCAAGCTGTGGAATCAGTTTGTGAAGTGATTTTGAGGGAATGCTTTGACCTTGGATGTGAAGTCAAGTACGTGTTAGGTAAAATTGTAATGGAGTCATCCGATTGGAAGTATGTATTATGTTCAAAGTTGCCTCTGCTGCAATATTCCGACTACAATGATACTAGAGTTCTCTGTGCTTTGGCCAGTTATTTGAAGGCCTTCCCAGATTTTAGACCCATTCTGAAGGATCTGGTGGTAAGACTTCTTTCAGTGTGGGGAGATCGTAGTGCTTTAATTCATACACCTATGGAGCAGCACATTTATGTAACTCAAGCTCTGGTTCTATTTTCTCTGAGTTTCCACTTCTGTGATGGGGAAAAGCTGTCCACTATTCCTTTGACAAATCTATTTAAGGGTGTTCAAATTCATCTGGAGTCGCCTGTTGTACAAATTCGTGCTATTGGTATGATAACAGCAGAAATTCTCACTAAATACTTTATTGGTAATGATGATTCAGCAGAGTTGAAATTTGATTACTCTGGCATGGACCTTGATAGTCTCAAATTGGTGGAAATGGTCAAGAATTTAAATACAGATTTCCCAAAGAGTAGAAAATTTGAAAATGATGGCAATGCTATTCTCCTTTCTCTTGCTGAGGACTGTGGAATGTTGAGTAAGAAGACTCGAGATGAGGGTTTACCGGCAGTGGTTCCTCTGAAGTGCTCTGGTGGCGAGCCCTGTCCAAAATCTATTTCAGATAATAATACCTTCAGAGCTGAAACTCCAGAAATGCTTGACAGTGATGATGATTTGGAGCCTTTCGATATGTCAAATGATAAACCTATCTCTGACCGTAAAAAACCTCTGTATTTAAGAGACATGCTTGAGGGCCTCTATGAAACAGAAGATATGGATCGTTGGTGTGGCAGTATTAGCTCATGTGAGGAGTTAGTCCAAAAGCAAATGCCTCAAGAAGATGAATCACTTGCCATTCTAATTCTTGAAGCATTAATTTCTCTGGAACCAAGGTTTCCTCTGGAAAACTTTAGTGATCTCCAGTTAAAGGGGGCTATTGCAGTGTTGTGTTGCTTTCCCTCCTCTTGTGCTGAGCATCTTGCCAAACTATTTCACAAGGAGAAAGGAACTTATTCAATTGCCCAAAGATTGCTCATTCTTCACATATTGACTGAGGGAGCACAGTCCTTGTCCTCAATTCCATCAGTGTCTGTCAAGAAAGAAAGCATAAGTAGTGATAAGACTGTATCCAACTCATTTAATAATCATTCAGGTGTATTTGAAGAGGTGCTTGATGAATTCTCTCAATTGTTTGCATTTGAACCAGATTCTTCTCAGAAACTCTGGAAGAAACAGATTGATGAAAGAATTGCTTCAAAGACACGACGTATTGCATCCCGTACAAGAGTGCCTTTAAGTTTTACTTCCAGATTTGCTTCTGTCGCTGGATCATTTTTCTTTCCTCTGATAAGGGGCATGATAAACTCCTATGGAAGTATTTACCTTACAGTCCATGATGAAATTGAAATTGATGACAACTCTGGAATCCTTTTAAGGTTCATTTTATCACTATCAGTATTAATGCAATGCTCTCAAAATGCACCTGCAGCTCCTCGAATGGGATCTGAACTTCTAGAGTTTGCCTGGAGCATCAGATACCATCCAGAGGCTAGCATCCGTTTGGCTGTGATAGGATGTGTAATGAGTGTTTTAGTTGCTGTGCCTCAGTCCCGATTACAAAGTGATTTACGTCCTGCCCTGGTAGAAGCAAGGGCCTGGCTGCAAGGTATTGCTTGTGGTCCTCTAGGCATTCAGGACACTAATTCAAAATGCAGGGAGCTTGGTGCCAAAATTGGAGCTTTGCTTGATGTGGCCCTTTCTTAATAGTGGAATTTGTTTGTGTTTTTCTGGAGACTTTATAATTGTAGGCAGTTGTAAGTTAAAACTAACTTTTGTTCTAAAGCTCAGACTCTTTGTCAGTACGGTTAGAAATCTCTTTGTACAATCTGTTTTTAGAATAAATTTTCTTATATTCTTAAAATATGAATTTTGTTTCATCCATCCTCTTTTCTGAATTTTCAATGCTTGAAAATTAAACTCTTGATGGTGCGGCTTTTTCAGTGGTCGGATTGTTTTATTTTGTTGTAGGTGGTCCTGCTGTTGGTTTCCTAAATGCTACTCCTTTGACACCTCTAAGTTCTCAAAATCCTATGCAAATCTCTACCAATGTCAACCAGGCAACATCCCCACTGCAGGTAGTACAAATCGTACCTCCCATTATTGTTCTGGAACTTCAGCATTTATAGGACCGGAAGTTAATTGTCGTTAAATTGCAGCTTGGGAGCACATGGACAAATGCTGGGCTGAATATTGATGTAGACAATCTGTCAGTTTCTGGCAGCCGTAACAAGAGTGGGACTGGACCATCCATGAACCAATTGGCTACCAATAGTCCGACATCACCTCTTGGGAGACAAGGTAATTTTCGCTTGTTATTTCCTGCAGAGTGCATTTTGTATTCCAGAAAATTCGCATATTTTTGATAATGATTGCATTTTTGTTTGTCGCCAGGTTTGGGCTCGCTGATGAACACGATGCCCCCTAGCCAGCCCAGCATGCCCATGATGGGTGGCCTTATGGGCGGGGTGCCCCCCTCCCCCGTGGCAGCGGCCGGGCCAAGCATGCCTGGCCTGCCTGGCCTGGCGGGACTGCAGGGCATGCCCAGCATGCCGGGTATGCCGGGTATGCCGGCCATGCAGATGCAACAGAGTGCAGCACCTCTGGGAATGATGCAGCCCAATCTAATGTCTGCCAACCCGGGTTTCTTCCCTGCTGCTTTCAAGTGAAAAACTGTTTACCACTCAGCTCACTTCCAGAAGCTATTTTGAACTGAATGTTTCTATTTCTAGGAACTCCTTGAAACCTCATTTGTTAATTGCCACTTGTGATACAATTTATTATCTTCTTTTGGAAATGCTCAATCAACATGATGATTTTAAAAAAAAATTCTTTCCCTATTAGTTTTTATAATACTTCAAGGCCAAACCATACAGACTCTTTTGTTTCAATCAACTTAAATTATTAATTTTAACTTATGAATTTTGCATACATATGGAGATGGTCATGGTCATACATAGTCATATCACACACTGATTCAAACCTCTGTAGATATATTGTAAATAAGTGTGAACAGCAGGATCCTTGAGACGTAGATTTTTAAGCTAATGCAAGTGTTGAATGTTTATTGCCTGTAAAATGATCAATCTTTTATGGCTTATTCTTCTATACATTGGTTCAACCAGTTTTTATCAAGAGTTTAAAGTGATTGATGTAGTCTTCCTACATCTTTAAACAGTGTAGAAAGTGTCTGAATGTTGGCTATAGTGAAGCATAATTTGTTTAGTGAGTGTCATATGGGCTTTAGAGTGTTTCTGACAAGAATTCCCTATTTTACCTGCCTTCCATGAAGGTTTGTAGGTTTCTTGTTGAATTGTCTTCCCATCTGGAGGTGTGGCACCATGTATTTAGTGCACCGCTCATCCAGTTCCCAGCTCTTTTGGGACCAATGCTGAACCTTCCAATTATTTCTGTACTACCCTGTACAATGTAATATTGATTGATGGTTCGCAATGGGAATTCTTTGTTCTCTTATTACATTAGTAAATTGTGTTATGCTTCAGTTTTGTTGTTAACCATGGGCTCAAGGTAAAACTTTGTGTTTATTAAGTTAAGACAGCACACTTAATAGTTTCATCAAAATTGCAGGGGAATGTTTGACACTTTCCTTGAGAGCACAAATAAGATTCTGAGGCCATGGTGCCCAGCTGAAATACATATTTGTATATTGAGTCAACTATGGACTCAAAATTATATTCAATCCAAGTTCATAGTTCGTTTGTTCATTTGTTCTTTTGATTGCAAGAGTGAACATCTCCCTGTCCAGATCCAAAATCAGCAAAATTGCAAACTGCTTAATACTTAATTTAATTCATGATTTTTTATCAAACCAGGGTTACAGATATTTTCTACTATGATTGTGACTGTCAAAATGCTGCGTCTTTTTTCTAACTTGTGCATTTATTTTTAAACTTTGGGCTAATGAATATTCTATAGTAATGAGGGGCTACAGGAACTGACAGCTCAACCCTCTAACCTTTTTTGTGCCTCTTAAAAGGAACTTTGTTACCACATATCTTAGTTTATTTGCCACATTGTGTTAAAATAGTCCTAATTCAATGTAAGTAATTGTGCAGCTATTTGTAATTGCTTATCTTTTAATGTATGTTTATTTTGTAAAAAAAGGAAAGCTGAATTTTTTGTTCAATTTTTTTCTTCTTGTATGAAAGTAATTGTTTTATGTACATAGATAAGGGTACTCTCACAAATTTTTATCGGACAATACTGTCAATTCCATTTATAATTGAAATGATGGGTCAATGAGATTTGCGCGCTAACCCAAATGGAAGTCATTGAACTGCCTAATTTTGTATGATGTCTCATTTTAAGGCACTTACAAATGAAAATGTGATATGTTTATCAGTAATGTCATACAGTAAATTATTACCAATTTTGAATCATTTCAGTAAAGTTTGTTACTTTTATCTTGGAATTTCTTTTAGCTCCGGGGAAAGGGAAGTCCAATAATCAACCCTTACAAACTCAGTTTCAATTGCCAAGGTATTGTGCATGCAATAATGTGAGCAGGATTGTTGCTTAATTCATAGGTTGTTTTCAGTATTCTTTGCCATTAGTGGGAAAGTGGCAGTTGTGTTAATTAGTTATGGCATATGAATGATATTCGATTCTTAACAAAAGTATCGCAACTGTTGTCTATTTTTGTTACTTAGATTAAGTATATCAATTATGTTATATTACTTGGAGATATATTTAATTGTAATGAATGTTAAAATTTGATAATGCTCATACCAAGGGATTTGGGTGCTGGTCTTGTTTTACTTTAAGGTCTGCAAACTAGGTATGACTGTAGTGTACTTTCACAGTGGTGCTGCCGGCTTGAGTCCTGCGTCTGATGGTATTGTGACTTGCCATTTGATTAGTATAACTGTTCATTAGGGTACCTAATTTTAACTTGTTATGAACCATTTAGGCATTGTGTCACATTGTATTCTGCAGAGAATAAATGTCTTAAAATCATTTATACTGGGTGACATCAATCAAGAAGTTATCTAAATGAACATTTTATTAGACATAGTATTTGAACAACGTAACGGAGTAAAGCCAATTTTCCCACACAATCTCCTGCCATATCAATATCCACATAAAGGACACCATGAGACACTATTCTTTTGAACTAATCTAACACATCCATCAGATACACATCACAACATAAAATGCCACTGTCCGACCTGCATGACCACCAACTGAATAATGTCTTGGGAACATACTGGCCACACTGAATTTAAAACTACAATGAGATGCACTTGTGATCAGGAATTAGCACATGGGTAAATGTATCTTCAGGATTCAATCTTGGCAAGGATATCTGATTCTCTGAATAAGTGGAATTCTTTGTTTTCTTCTAATTCCACCTTGGTGCCACCATATTCAGGAAGTAAAACTTGGTCTCCTACTTTAACAGAGATGGGGACATGCTGTCCTTCCTGTAAACACAACTCAAGTTAAAACCAGGAATAGAAACGAATAAATGCCTACTTTTTTTTTCTGAGGCAAATAAAGATTACTTACACTGTTCCTGCTGCCAGGTCCAACAGCGATCACTTTTCCAGTGAGAACCTTGCCTTGAGCTTTTTCAGGGATTACAATGCCACCCTTCGTTTTGGTAACTGCCTCAGCTCTCTGGATAAGAACCCTATCGAAGAGAGGGACCAACCGTTTGGCTGATGCTAAAACTGTTTGAGCTGCTGCAGACTGGAACAGATGGACAAAATTCAAAATGAGAAACTTGAGTCGATTAGATAAAGTTTGCACGTTGGAGTACATCGAAGGAGAACCACTATAGATCACGATTAAAAGAAATAGATACGCGGATCATGAATAAAACTGGACACTCGGGCATGTAGGTGGATCAAAGAGATGTGACAATAGTCAATCCAAAAGGGAAAGCTTTCATTCATTGCCATGATGGGCCAAGCCAAGGTTGATGGTTAGGAGTGCATGGGCGGTCGTCATTGAAATGATGAATGATGCAATGACCATTGGAATAATCTCGTAAGAGCCTTACCATTTTCGACTTATTGTATGACTAGCTCTTCTTCAGACTCTGAACGACTGACTTCCACCCCACGTAGAGAGGGTGCCAGAAAGATAACGTTCACTGATCTCAGCCGGCAGCAGACTGAAGTTCAACCACGAGGACGTTGACTATCTGGAAAGAAGACACCGAACTTCTACACTGTTCAAAAACTAATAAATGAGGACGTTTCTGAAGGACTAATAAACTCGCTCGTGCAGTCACACTCCCAAGTTTAGGGTTTTCCAAATTTGTCATGAAGAGTTAAACGTCATCTTTTTCAACAAATCAAGCCAAACGAGTTTACTTTTAAAACTGAAGCAGCCCCTCCCACTTTTGAAAGGCAGACGTCTTCTACGTCCACAGTCAAAGGACCCTGCCGGCACGTTCGAAACTATATAGCGCCAATCTTGAACTAAAACACAAATTGAACAGGTTCCGTTTCAAACGTTAGCCCAACATTGAATGTCTGCGACTGGAAGCACGATTTTTAACCCATTCCACCGCCAACGGCTTGGAAAAGAGACCTTGAAGTTTCATCAGACCACCAGCACATTCTAGAAGTTGCAGGGGCCACGGACGAGCAGTCGAGTCGCCCACACCGCCCCAGGAGCTCTCTTATTAATCGATGACTCCACTTTATTAGCTCAAGTCTATCAGATTTGGTGTCAGCCTCCCGTTCACAATTTTCATATTTTATACAGATGGAAGAATGACACGCGCCTCTCTAGTTTTTGAGCGGAATGCTTGTGCCAGGGCCGCGCTGAGGATTCCCCTCTTCTTCTTCTTTTCACCTCTGCTCCTACACCAGCATCTTCTCGTGCGTTCGGCCGACCAGTTTCCTCGTGGTCACCACCAAAGGATCAAGCGAAACTCTGATCTCATTTTATAAGTTCTAACTGTACATTTACTCTTGACCCGGTGCGTTTACTTCTGGTAAGCAGCTTGCTTCGTTTGATACACTTTTCCGTGAAACCACGCTTGAATTCAGCTTTTCTGACGAAATCTTTTTTGAGCATGCATCGGAGCATGCCGGCTAGCAAGTCTTGCATGGACTCGTATCCTGTCATTGATTCCGTCTACTGGTAACTGCTAGCACAACATGTTTGTCCTAATTTGCCTACGCTGTTTGTGTTTTCCTCGTATCTCTGTGCGTTTCCTGAGCCACTATGTCCACTGAATAGGTTATGTCGTTCTCTACTTTCCCATGATTGCCCTTTGAGCGGCTTCACCACCAACGAAGGTGAACCCGGTTGTTACAGTGCTTCAGGGAATTTAGTTTCATGCCACATTTTAATGTTTGACAGTCGTTCCTTGTGTAGACACTCATTGCTGCACAATTTCTGACTTGTCATAGAAGATTGTTCATGGAGTTGCTTCACCCAAGATTGGTTTTTGACTTGCTCAGATTTCCACTGCTTGGCTTTGCGGACTCATACATTTTGTGGCATTTTAATACTCTCACCCTTGACAGTCGTTCCTTGTTCAGGCACCCATTGCTGCACAATTTCTGACTTGTCATAGAAGAATGTTCATGGAGTTGCTTCACCCAAGATTGGCTTTTGACTCGCTCAGATTTCCACTGCTTGGCTTTGCGGACTCCTACAGTTCCTTGCGTTTTAACATTCTCACCCTTGACAGTCGTTCCTTGTTCAGACACCCATTGCTGCACAATTTCTGACTTGTCATAGAAGAATGTTCATGGAGTTGCTTCACCCAAGATTGGCTTTTGACTCGCTCAGATTTCCACTGCTTGGCTTTGCGGACTCGAACATTTCCCTTTCTGTTATGTTTGGCTACCCGCTAAGATCATCCCATCTCTAATACATTTTTAATGTGTCCTTTTTCAGATCCATCATGTTCAGGCTGCCAACAGTCTTGCGCTCTGTAGCATCACGCCAGATCTGCCATGTCCGTGGTTATGCCAAAGATGTCCGCTTCGGACCTGAGGTCCGAGCTCTCATGCTCCAGGGTGTTGACATTTTAGCAGATGCTGTTGCTGTTACAATGGGCCCCAAAGGCCGCAATGTCATCCTGGAACAGTCTTGGGGTAGTCCCAAAATTACCAAGGATGGTGTCACTGTCGCCAAGGGCGTTGAACTGAAAGACAAGTTCCAAAACATCGGCGCCCGCCTAGTTCAGGATGTGGCCAATAACACCAACGAGGAAGCCGGAGATGGCACAACCACAGCAACAGTTTTAGCCAGAGCTATCGCCAAGGAGGGCTTTGAGAAGATCTCTACTGGGGCTAACCCCATTGAGGTCCGCAAGGGTGTAATGCTTGCTGTGGATGCCATCATTGGCCACCTGAAAAACCTTTCCAGACCTGTCACCACCCCTGAAGAAATTGCCCAAGTTGCCACCATTTCAGCCAATGGAGACCGCAAAATTGGTGACTTGATCTCCAACGCCATGAAGAGGGTATGTTTGGAACATCTTTGCTCCAACTGATGTCCTGTTTTGATTTTGCTAGATTCTCATTGGTTTACTCTTTTCCAGGTTGGCAAAGAAGGCGTAATCACTGTCAAAGACGGCAAGACTCTTAATGATGAGCTTGAAGTCATAGAGGGCATGAAATTTGATAGAGGATACATTTCACCTTATTTCATTAACACTGCTAAAGGTAGGCCTTGTGACTGACCACTACTTGACAGTGTATTCCATTCTATTTGTTGAAATGTGGGTATCTGCCTATTTCTGTTACTAACTCCCATGGGTTTTATCTCAGGTGCCAAGGTTGAATTCCAAGATTGTCTCGTTCTTTTCTCCGAGAAGAAAATCTCATCAATTCAGTCTATTATCCCCGCCCTTGAACTGGCTAACACTCTCCGCAAGCCCCTCGTAATTGTTGCTGAGGACATCGATGGTGAAGCTCTCAGCACACTTGTAGTTAACAGGCTCAAGATTGGACTTCAAGTTGCTGCTGTCAAAGCACCTGGTTTTGGAGACAACCGCAAGGCAACTCTCCAGGATATGGCCATTTCCACTGGTGGTATTGTGTTTGGAGATGAGGGCAGCCCCGTTAAGTTGGAAGATGTCACTAAGGAAGACCTTGGCATTGTGGGAGAGTGCATCATCACCAAGGATGACACCTTGATGCTGAAGGGCAAGGGCAAGAAGGCTGATATCGACAGAAGAGCGGACCAGATTAGGGACCAGATTGCCGACACCACCTCTGAATATGAGAAGGAGAAGCTGCAGGAGCGGTTAGCGAGATTAGCATCTGGTGTTGCTGTTCTCAGAGTTGGAGGATCTAGCGAGGCAAGTTTCTTCAAGTTGTATTTATTTGCTGCCATTTTAAACTGATGATAATGAAAGGCCGTCTGATGCTGCACCTCTCCACCTGGATTGAGATGAAGCTCTGATCTTGTTTCCTGAAGCGAAATATCTGATCTTTGTTTGTGTTTAAGGTCGTCTTTGATTGATTGTCCATGTTTTAAAATGTTTGTATCTTTTTAGGTTGAAGTTAATGAGAAGAAGGACCGTGTAAATGATGCTCTGTGCGCCACCCGTGCTGCTGTTGAGGAAGGTATTGTTCCCGGCGGTGGCACTGCTCTCCTTCGTTGCATTTCCAGCCTTGACAGTCTCACCCCAGCCAACAACGACCAGAAGACTGGTATGTTTTGTTTGTCTGATGTACATTATACTGAAGAGGAAGTTCATGGACCTCACCCGTTTCTTCTTTTGCAGGAATTAACATTGTTCGCAAAGCCCTTCGTCAGCCTTGCATGCAGATTGCTCTCAACGCTGGTGTTGAAGCCTCAGTTATTGTTTCAAAGGTTGAAGAAGGAAAGGGAGATATGGGATATGATGCTTTAAATAATGAATTTGTCAATATGATTGAGAAAGGAATTATTGATCCAACCAAGGTATGTTGAGTAGTTACTTGTCAGGGTTTCAAGGCACTACTTGATTCGATGCTTACAGATCGTTGTGTTGCAGGTTGTGAGGACTGCCTTAACGGACGCTGCAGGAGTTGCTTCCCTTCTAACAACAGCTGAAGCTGTTGTCACAGAACTGCCCAAGGAAGATCCTCCCATGGGAGCTGGCATGGGCGGCATGGGTGGAATGGGTGGCATGGGCGGTATGGGAGGCATGGGAATGTAAACCAAGATCTGTCAAGTCGCTCAATGCCCCTGTTGTGTGCCTACTCCACTAGTAGGTGGTGACTTATAGCTGGACTGTAAGCGTGCTGTGAGTTCTCTACTTCTGTAGTGTGCAACACATGGGTTTTATGTGTTCAGTGCCCAAATTTTGTGACTGTTTTATGCATTTGCTTGGAGAAGGGGAAACATGAAGATAATCAAGGCTCCAACTCCTTTGTAGTATCTTGCCTACTAGTCATGCGATCTGGAAAACTTCAACTGTTCTGTAGGCTGGTCAAGACACAAATGTTACTGTGCTTATGTCAGAGTCTATTTCCTTAAAGCTTGTATGTTTTATTTGGTCTAAATATTTTAAATATGTTAACTGTGTCTCCAGCTCCATCAAAATGCTTTTATGAATTTCAGTTAAGTATCTTAACACTTGTGAACTAGGTGGTATCTCATTCCATTGTTGTATTCAGGTTTTCATTTTCCAGATCTCCCACAGTGTTTCAACAATTTGTAAATAATGTTGCCATTATCATAGTACATTATAGTTATTCATCACATCTCCCTGTTTTGTAATGTTAAAAATACAGAGAGCGGTATGAGTTTGTACCCTTGCCTTTTATTTTCCACCCCTGTCATGCATATTGATTTGGTACTCGTCAGATTGATTATTTTATTGTAACAAAAAATACATCTCACATCTATATTATATATAACAGACAATAAAAAAAAATATTGTAAACACTGACTAGATGTGTTTTGACAATTCATTATCTATCACAGCTCTGTTTTGTCTCTTCCATCTTCTCACATTTTCTCAATGAAGTTTTGAAGAAGATTCCTACATTCTCATCAATACATAGATAAATATGCAGTAATTCAAAGCTAGGAAAACTGTTCCAAGAAGATAATTAGTGGAATGTAAGTCAATTTAAACGCTTCTACATTAATTTCCGGCATGCTTCCAAATTTCTTTTTCTGGAAAGCCACTCCTCCTGTCAAGAGAATTGAAGACTAGCGGACTGATGAAAATTTAGGATGGGGTTACTCTGTGCTCCCCAACATTGCAGAGATTATAAGATAAAAACATTGTATATTCACACGGGGTTAGCGAGCTATAGCGCCGGTCGGGCGGGCAACTTTTTCGACTCCAATTTGCACTGTTGGCGCCGATGGCGGGCCTTCCCAGACATGGATACTTTTGCGAATCTACGTCATAGAAAATAATATGGTAATTCGTGGTTCTAATTTTCCTATTGCCTACGATATCTGTATCACCTTACGTACTTGAACATTAAATTACATTGCATCTACCGATCCATGACCTGGAATCAATGAGATCGTACGGTAAAATAGATCGAATCATACTTGCACGTGCTTCACAGCAGCCCGCTGCCCGCAGCAACGTTCTCCAGCTCAGGTTTCAGAATATACGAAGTGAATAAAGTGAGGAGACCAAACACGAAATAGCTCAGCTCTGTGTGGGAGGGGGGCTGGAATTGAATCCCAACACAGTAGCGGCACTTCGTAAATTTGAGGAGGGTTCTTTCCTTTTCGGCCAGCATTCCGCTCAGGCGTCATCGGTTACAGCAACACACAAGTCCTGGAGCGCACGGTGACCTGGCCGTTGCTGGCCTGCTGCTTGGGGGTGGCCGCCGACTTGGCCTTCCGGAACAGCCCCCGCGCGGCCCCGGCCGTCGCCGTGCCCCCCGCCGCCTTGGCCGCCCCGGACAGGGACTGGCCGGCGGTGGCCTGCAGGGAGTGGGAGTGGGCGTGCCGGCAGTGGCCCTGGCCGCCCTGGCCGTCGTCCCCGGATGCAGCGCCGCCGCGGCCGTTGGAGTCCTGCGGGACAGGAAGACAAGACGACGGGGATGAAGCAAAGCAAGCCAAGTGCGCAGCCCGGCTGGGGGAAGGACCAGCAGACTTATTCTCTCGTCGCTCTGTCTCTCTCACACCTAAGCGGGGAGCCCCACGAGTGCGAGAGAGGCAGAGTGACGGCGGTGGCGAGGACTCACGCCGTGCGGAGTGGCGGCGTCCGGCGTGCCGGGCTGCGACGACGCCTGCTTCTGCAGGCGGTGCACGGCGATGCGGTACGTGCCGATGACGGGCGAGCGCACGCCCTTCTCGAGGTTCTCGTGCAGCAGCGCGGCGCCGATGCCCAGCGCGGCCAGCCGCTCGCGGGCCAGCACCTCGATGTCCGAGAGGGGCGGCGGCGGCGTCGGCGGCGCGGGGCTGGCGCCGTCCTCGGCGGGTGGCGACGTGCTCAGGCCGTTGGCCCGGGTGGGCAGCGTCACCCAGTCGCCCTGGTCGTCGGGCACCTTGGGGATCGGCGTGCCGCAGAGCCACTCCGACGCCACGATCTGGTCCATGGCGAGCCGCTCCGCCGGCGCTTGCCGCAGGATGGCCTCTGCAAAGCACCATGAGACTAGGGGTAATGGACTCGCAACGGAGCTGGCCGGAACCTCTGCCTTGCTAATTGTAGTTCACTATTTCTCCGACTAAATATGCGATTTTTGAGATGGGTCGGGCATTTTCGGAAAGAAGACATCTTAAAGTATGCCCTAAATTCAAAAAAGTTTCAATTTTCCCACCAGGGCTCGAACAGGAACAGCTTCACCGTTGCGCTTCTCAAATGCGCAGGGCGACGGCCATGGTGCCAGGGGCGACGCAGGGGGGGCGCCTCTTCAACTTGCGCTAGAAGCTTCCCCATGCCGCAAAAGTGATGGGACAAGTGGTGCACCTTAATATATGTCGAAGACAAACTATGTCCCATCACTTTTGCGGCATCGGGAAGCTTCTATCGCAAGTTGAAGATGCGTCCCCCCTGCGTCGCCCCTGGCACCATGGCCGTCGCCCTGCGCATTTGAGAAGCGCAACGGTGAAGCTGTTCCTGTTCGAGCCCTGGTGGGAAAATTGAAACTTTTTTGAATTTAGGGCATACTTTAAGATGTCTTCTTTCCAAAAATGCCCGAGCCATCTCAAAACTCTCATATTTAGTCGGAGAAATAGTGAACTACAATTAGCAAAGCAGAGATTCCGGCCAGCTCCGTTGCGAGTCCATTACCCCTAGTCTCATGAAAGCACCACCCAGCCGTCAGGCCGTCAGCGAGGATGACAGCCACCCTGGGACCGGCTTTTAAACACAGGGCGTCGGAAATCCAACCGCCCCGGGTTCAAACACCGGCGTCAGAGGCTTTTCCATCTCACTCACCGATGAGCCCCTGGCACTCGTCCGACAGGTGCGCGGGCAGGCTGAAGTGGCCCTCCAGGATGTGGCGCTTGAGGGAGGCGACGGTGGGCGCCTGGAAGGGCATGTGGCCCGTCACGATGAAGGCCAGCAGCACGCCCAGCGCCCACAGGTCCACGGGCGGGCCGCGGTAGGACTCGTCGCGGAACAGCTCGGGGGCGGCGTACGGCGGCGAGCCGCAAAACGTGTTAAGCTGCTGCTGCATTCCTGCCAACAAAAACAAACGGAGTTTTAGAGCTTTTAGAGCGAGCAAACATCAACAACAACACACGGCGGGGCGCGGGCGGCCCTTACCTGAGGTGAGCTCGGTGCTGAAGCCGAAGTCGCCCAGCTTGACTAACGTGGGCCCCGCGCAGAACACGTTCTCGGCCTTGATGTCCCTGTGGATGATGCCGCGCCCGTGCTGCAGCGCCGGCAAGACAAAGACGGGGCACTGTAAGGCACTGGGCAGGCAACGCGACGCGGCACAGGGGGCTAGAAGATCGGTGGAAGCGGCCAAAACTCTAGATGGGTTTTGAGCTCCACGAGCCCAATGTGTTACCCCACCCATGGATTCCTCGTTCGGAGAGCAATCCATTGGTGGGGTCACACGTTCGGTTCGAGTTCTATTTAGCGACTCTGGAGCTCAAAAAGCGTCTAGAGTTCTGGCCCACTGTGCGCGCCAGGAACCGAGCGATAATGAGACTCACCAAGTAGTGAACGGCCGAGGCGATCTGGCCGAAGACGACCTTGGCCTGGGCCTCCTCCATCCGGCCCAGCGTGCTGATCTTGTGGTAGAGCTCCCCGCCCGCGGCGAACTCCAACACCAGGTGCAGCTTGGAGTAGGTCTCCACCACCTCGTACAGCCTGGGCCAAAAGCAGAGGGCCGAGTGTGAATCGGAATCCGGGTCGTTGACACTGCCACACTGCAGTAGGGCTGCGGCGGTCTTTCCCGACGCAATCGCCTTGTGGCGTGCGCGCCGCAGCGTTAGGCATCCCGTCGGCCTCGCCGTCGGCGCGCGGCCAGCAGGCTGAGTCCGAGGGTCGATTCCGTCGCTCTGTCTCTCTCGCACTCATGCGGCGCCCCGTCTGGGTGCGAGAGAGACAGAGCGACGAAAACGACCCTCGGGATCAGTCCGCAGCGCGGCGTACCTGATGATGTTGGGATGGTGCACGCGCTCCATGTTGGCCACCTCCCTCGTCACCATGCGTCTCGTCTTCTGGTCCAGCTTCGCCTTGTCCAGGATCTTGATGGCCACCCGCTCTGCAAAAGGCACACATCAATTTTTTTTTCTTTTTTGTTTCAAATATCATAGTTCCTGTTAAAAACGTTTTTGCTCGCTAAGTGCTGGAATAATTTGAGCGTAGGAGTGCTGCGGCTGCATTATGCGCGGCGGGGCGGCTCAGCGATGTCGCCGCTTTATGTCGCAGTCGGCGGTACCGCTCGGGCAGTGCTACCGCTCGCAGTGCCGCCCGCGGATTTGTGAATCAAATGAGCGGGTTGCCGAAGGGAAGCAGTAGTATGGCATATTGCCGGCAAGGAGCTTTCTTCATTCCGCGAAAAAGCATCAACGAACTTGTCGTCGAGCTGATTCCCGGGAGCGCGGTCCGCGTGGGGTCCGTGGGGCCCCTGGGGTTCGACCCGACCGAGAAATACTCCCACGGCCTGGCCCATGGTCTGTCTGGTCGGGACAGCTCCGTCGGAACCTTTGCAGCCCCGCCTGGAGTTTCCGGCCTCTGGCTCTCGCTAGTCGGGAGCGACGCCCCCGGCCCGGCCGCACTCCCCGGCCTATCGCGCATCGGGATCACGACCACGACCACGATCACGGCGGCGAGAAATGACCTCCAAAACTGGGCGGCCCTGCCCGGCCCGCGGCTCGACCCTCGACGGGGTGACCGCATGGCCTGCCCTGGGCCTGCCGGAGCGGAGCGGCGGAGCGCAGCGCGGGGTGAAGATCCTCCCGACGTGTGAGCCGCGCCACGAGCCGCCCCGCCATGGCCCCGCCATGGCGCGCCAGGGCCAGGGGGGAGGGGGCTAACTCTCCCTACTCACGAAACGAACAGACAATCCGGCGCGGCCATTTCTCGGCGCGTGGGCATGCGACTGGAGGCCGGGGGGTGAGTCGCCCCCAGCAAACTGATTCCGAACACTGCTTCGTCTCGCTCGCACCCCTACGGACCGCCCCACGAGTGCGAGAGAGACAGAGCGACGGCTGCGGTGTCCCCGTCCTTCCCCTTGCCCTCCCTCCGCACAGTGGGCCAGAAGACCGGTGAAGGCGGCCAAAACTCTAGACGCGTTTTGAGCTCCAGAGTCGCTAAACAGGACTCGAACCGCAAGTGTGACCCCACCAATGGGTTCCTCGTTCGGAGAGCAATCCATTGGTGGGGTCACTCGTTCGGTTCGAGGCCTGTTTAGCGACTCTGGAGCTCAAAACGCGTCTAGAGTTTTGTCCGCCTCCACAGGTCTTCTGGCCCACTGTACTCCGTGGCGCTAGACGCTAGGTTGGTGACTCTGCTGATTCAGCGCGAACGGGTCGGACGGGCGTGGCGCCTCAGTCACCTGTTCTATGCTGTGTAAATGTGCAGCAATGTGCAGCACGCCCCTCCCCGCCGCCCCGCCCCACGCCGCCAGTGCAAAGTAACCATCGTCATCCGCTGAGCTACTCGCCAGCACGGCACTAACAGGATCTACACCTGCAGGAGCGTCCGTAAGAAGGGGGGGGGGGAGACAACAGCCGTGGGGCGAGTTACGCATCGCGAGAAAGTTCGGAGCGCAGTAAGTGCGAATATGAGGCCAACTGATTTAAATTTTAAAAATCATACTCATTTTTGGGGCTTTTCGCTAAGCTTTACGAAGGGTAGAATGGGTCCCAAAGGAGGGGTGCCAGTGACGCTTTTGCAATAATCATTTTTACGGAGTGAAATTTGTTGGGCGCCACCGGGACACTACACGGGTAGCGCAGTAGCGCCCCGCGCCCCGACAGGTTAGGACAGCTCGGTGTCTCGTCGCGCCTAGCCGCCTAGCTGGGGCGTGCTAGGGCTTCCTGCTGCACCCGCTGCCCGCTGCGCGCCCAGGAGACCCATTCCGAGAGTCGTTTTCGTCGCCCCGTCTCTCTCCCTCTCCCCCATACGGGACGACCTGCGAGAGCGAGAGAGACGGAGCGACGAAAACGACTCTCGGAATCAGTCTGCAGGCTCGTGGCGCTGCCGGGGGAGGGGGCAGTCGAGCCGCAGCAGTCACCTTCTAGGGTAGACAGGCCCTGCCAATATGTTCCCAATGCTCCCCCCAGAGCCCCCGAGCCCAGAGCGCCTGTCGTTCCGTGCATAGGCAGGCCCGCGACGCACGGCTGTCGTGCCTCCCAGGGGCTGCCTACTCCGCCCCTGCCGGCCAAAGCCAGTTCCGTCGATGCACAACCCCGCGGGGAAGGCTTCCATTCGGATTGCCAATTTACCGGAGTTCCAGCCCGAATTATCTTCTTGCTTTTTGTTTTATTTTCGTAGTGATATGAAGGGGAGAGCAGTAATGGGTGAACGAATGTCCCGCATGCCGAGTCGCCCATTTCTCCAAAGTATCCCATTTCTCGGCTCTAAAGAGACGGGATTCGGGAGTTTTGTTTACCGCGAGAGGTAATGTGCAAACAAAATAAATCAAACTAGGTATTTTTTTGCTCAACATCGACAGCAAATCCAAACCTACCTGAGGTGAGCTGGTGTACGGCCATCTTGACGGTGCTGAAGTTGCCGGCGCCCAGGTCGCCGCGCAGGCGGTACAGGCCGACCCGCTTGCCCAGGGACACCTCCTGCCGCCAGCGCCGGTCATGGTGCAGCTGGAGGGTGAGCCGCTCGTACGGCGTGCTGCCCCCGCACTCTGCTCCTGGAACAAAGCCGGCCGGTCGCGGTTGGAGATGCCTTTATGTTTGGTTTCGTCTTTGTGGGGCACTGCACAGTAAGGTCATATGGAAGCTAGGTCGGCGCAACCGAGATGGGACACCGGGCAAGCCGGCAGGCAGGCTGGCAGGCAGGTAGGCGGTCCTCCGCTGCACCCGGCGACGGATTTGGGATCTCGGTTGCGCCGACCTATCTTCCATATGACCTTACTGCACAGTGGGCCAGAAGACCGGTGGAGGCGGCCAAAACTCTAGACGCGTTCAGAGCCCCAGGGTCGCTAAATAGGACTCGAACCGAACGTCCGACCCCACCAATGGATTGCTCTCCGAACGAGAAATCCATTGGTGGGGTCATACGTTCGGTTCGAGTCCCATACAGCGACTCTAGAGCTCAAAAGGTGTCTTAAGTTTTGACCGCCTCCACCGGTCTTCTGGCCCACTGAGCGCTGGCGGCTTAATTTGAGGCTGACGGGCACGTCCGTCGGGCACCTTTGCTGCCGCCGAACAGCGCCGCGCTCAGCGAGGTCCTCCTCCCCGGCGGCCTGGGCGGCCTGGGCACGGGCTGGTAGGGCCGCACGATGTTGGGGTAGCGCGTGCGCGGGTCGCCGTTGGACACGAACGTGACGCACGAGTGCATGACGGCGGCCTGCTTGGCGGCCTCCTTGACGGCCTCCTTCGCGGCGGCCTGCTGCTGCTTGGCCGCGGCGCGCGCGGCACGGCGCCGTCACGGCGCGGCGACCGACGCGTGGCAGCATGGGGCTGGACGCTAGGCTCGCACTGGTGCGTCGTCGCACGCCTGCACCTCGACCACCTCGACCTTCTCGACCACCTCGACTACTTCGACTGCGCCAGGTGGCCGCCTCCGTGCCGCACCAACACCCTTACATCCTACAGCGCCGTGACAAATTAAAAGTGACATCGAGCTGGCGTTGAAGCGGGGGGGGGGGGGGGGGGGGGGAGAGGCGGAAGTGGTTCGTCCTCATCAGAAAAATAAAGCTGACGCGGTCCCGGGGGTGCTTTGCCATGGCCATGCCGCCGCCGGCTCTGGACGCTCCGGGAAGGAAGAGGGCGACGTGGACGACGAGGACGACGAGGACGACGAGGACGACGAGGACGACGAAGACGACGGGCACCCTCCACGGAGGTGGCATCCCCCAATCTGCATCGACGTGGACGTGTGACGTGCAACAAGGGGCTTTAATTTGCTGAGTGGTCCCCGTGGGTGGGCGTCGCTGGCGGGGCTGGCGGGGCAGTGCCGGCACACAGGTGGGGCCGTAACCCGTAACTAGTTAGAGGCCAAGCCGCGGGCTATGGGTCCCCTGGCGCAATTGGAGAGTATTCATCAGCGAGGAGTCCCGTCGGCCCGTCTCTCTCGCACCCATACGGGACGACCCACGTGTGCGAGAGGGAGAGAGAGAGAGCGCTCCCTCTCGGAATGAGTCTGCCGGTCCGGGCCGTCCGGGCCTGGCGGCGGGGCCAAGGGCGGGCAAGGGCGGTGGGGACGCGGCGTGACGTCAGACGCCCCGCCCAGCAAGCGAGGCACAGTGGGCCAGAAGACCGGCCTGGCGGCGGGGCCAAGGGCGGGCAAGGGCGGTGGGGACGCGGCGTGACGTCAGACGCCCCGCCCAGCAAGCGAGGCACAGTGGGCCAGAAGACCGGCCTGGCGGCGGGGCCAAGGGCGGGCAAGGGCGGGCAAGGGCGGTGGGGACGCGGCGTGACGTCAGACGCCCCGCCCAGCAAGCGAGGCACAGTGGGCCAGAAGACCGGCCTGGCGGCGGGGCCAAGGGCGGGCAAGGGCGGTGGGGACGCGGCGTGACGTCAGACGCCCCGCCCAGCAAGCGAGGCACAGTGGGCCAGAAGACCGGCCTGGCGGCGGGGCCAAGGGCGGGCAAGGGCGGTGGGGACGCGGCGTGACGTCAGACGCCCCGCCCAGCAAGCGAGGCACAGTGGGCCAGAAGACCGGCCTGGCGGCGGGGCCAAGGGCGGGCAAGGGCGGTGGGGACGCGGCGTGACGTCAGACGCCCCGCCCAGCAAGCGAGGCACAGTGGGCCAGAAGACCGGCCTGGCGGCGGGGCCAAGGGCGGGCAAGGGCGGTGGGGACGCGGCGTGACGTCAGACGCCCCGCCCAGCAAGCGAGGCACAGTGGGCCAGAAGACCGGCCTGGCGGCGGGGCCAAGGGCGGGCAAGGGCGGTGGGGACGCGGCGTGACGTCAGACGCCCCGCCCAGCAAGCGAGGCACAGTGGGCCAGAAGACCGGCCTGGCGGCGGGGCCAAGGGCGGGCAAGGGCGGTGGGGACGCGGCGTGACGTCAGACGCCCCGCCCAGCAAGCGAGGCACAGTGGGCCAGAAGACCGGCCTGGCGGCGGGGCCAAGGGCGGGCAAGGGCGGTGGGGACGCGGCGTGACGTCAGACGCCCCGCCCAGCAAGCGAGGCACAGTGGGCCAGAAGACCGGCCTGGCGGCGGGGCCAAGGGCGGGCAAGGGCGGTGGGGACGCGGCGTGACGTCAGACGCCCCGCCCAGCAAGCGAGGCACAGTGGGCCAGAAGACCGGCCTGGCGGCGGGGCCAAGGGCGGGCAAGGGCGGTGGGGACGCGGCGTGACGTCAGACGCCCCGCCCAGCAAGCGAGGCACAGTGGGCCAGAAGACCGGCCTGGCGGCGGGGCCAAGGGCGGGCAAGGGCGGTGGGGACGCGGCGTGACGTCAGACGCCCCGCCCAGCAAGCGAGGCACAGTGGGCCAGAAGACCGGCCTGGCGGCGGGGCCAAGGGCGGGCAAGGGCGGTGGGGACGCGGCGTGACGTCAGACGCCCCGCCCAGCAAGCGAGGCACAGTGGGCCAGAAGACCGGCCTGGCGGCGGGGCCAAGGGCGGGCAAGGGCGGTGGGGACGCGGCGTGACGTCAGACGCCCCGCCCAGCAAGCGAGGCACAGTGGGCCAGAAGACCGGCCTGGCGGCGGGGCCAAGGGCGGGCAAGGGCGGTGGGGACGCGGCGTGACGTCAGACGCCCCGCCCAGCAAGCGAGGCACAGTGGGCCAGAAGACCGGCCTGGCGGCGGGGCCAAGGGCGGGCAAGGGCGGTGGGGACGCGGCGTGACGTCAGACGCCCCGCCCAGCAAGCGAGGCACAGTGGGCCAGAAGACCGGCCTGGCGGCGGGGCCAAGGGCGGGCAAGGGCGGTGGGGACGCGGCGTGACGTCAGACGCCCCGCCCAGCAAGCGAGGCACAGTGGGCCAGAAGACCGGCCTGGCGGCGGGGCCAAGGGCGGGCAAGGGCGGTGGGGACGCGGCGTGACGTCAGACGCCCCGCCCAGCAAGCGAGGCACAGTGGGCCAGAAGACCGGCCTGGCGGCGGGGCCAAGGGCGGGCAAGGGCGGTGGGGACGCGGCGTGACGTCAGACGCCCCGCCCAGCAAGCGAGGCACAGTGGGCCAGAAGACCGGCCTGGCGGCGGGGCCAAGGGCGGGCAAGGGCGGTGGGGACGCGGCGTGACGTCAGACGCCCCGCCCAGCAAGCGAGGCACAGTGGGCCAGAAGACCGGCCTGGCGGCGGGGCCAAGGGCGGGCAAGGGCGGTGGGGACGCGGCGTGACGTCAGACGCCCCGCCCAGCAAGCGAGGCACAGTGGGCCAGAAGACCGGCCTGGCGGCGGGGCCAAGGGCGGGCAAGGGCGGTGGGGACGCGGCGTGACGTCAGACGCCCCGCCCAGCAAGCGAGGCACAGTGGGCCAGAAGACCGGCCTGGCGGCGGGGCCAAGGGCGGGCAAGGGCGGTGGGGACGCGGCGTGACGTCAGACGCCCCGCCCAGCAAGCGAGGCACAGTGGGCCAGAAGACCGGCCTGGCGGCGGGGCCAAGGGCGGGCAAGGGCGGTGGGGACGCGGCGTGACGTCAGACGCCCCGCCCAGCAAGCGAGGCACAGTGGGCCAGAAGACCGGCCTGGCGGCGGGGCCAAGGGCGGGCAAGGGCGGTGGGGACGCGGCGTGACGTCAGACGCCCCGCCCAGCAAGCGAGGCACAGTGGGCCAGAAGACCGGCCTGGCGGCGGGGCCAAGGGCGGGCAAGGGCGGTGGGGACGCGGCGTGACGTCAGACGCCCCGCCCAGCAAGCGAGGCACAGTGGGCCAGAAGACCGGCCTGGCGGCGGGGCCAAGGGCGGGCAAGGGCGGTGGGGACGCGGCGTGACGTCAGACGCCCCGCCCAGCAAGCGAGGCACAGTGGGCCAGAAGACCGGCCTGGCGGCGGGGCCAAGGGCGGGCAAGGGCGGTGGGGACGCGGCGTGACGTCAGACGCCCCGCCCAGCAAGCGAGGCACAGTGGGCCAGAAGACCGGCCTGGCGGCGGGGCCAAGGGCGGGCAAGGGCGGTGGGGACGCGGCGTGACGTCAGACGCCCCGCCCAGCAAGCGAGGCACAGTGGGCCAGAAGACCGGCCTGGCGGCGGGGCCAAGGGCGGGCAAGGGCGGTGGGGACGCGGCGTGACGTCAGACGCCCCGCCCAGCAAGCGAGGCACAGTGGGCCAGAAGACCGGCCTGGCGGCGGGGCCAAGGGCGGGCAAGGGCGGTGGGGACGCGGCGTGACGTCAGACGCCCCGCCCAGCAAGCGAGGCACAGTGGGCCAGAAGACCGGCCTGGCGGCGGGGCCAAGGGCGGGCAAGGGCGGTGGGGACGCGGCGTGACGTCAGACGCCCCGCCCAGCAAGCGAGGCACAGTGGGCCAGAAGACCGGCCTGGCGGCGGGGCCAAGGGCGGGCAAGGGCGGTGGGGACGCGGCGTGACGTCAGACGCCCCGCCCAGCAAGCGAGGCACAGTGGGCCAGAAGACCGGCCTGGCGGCGGGGCCAAGGGCGGGCAAGGGCGGTGGGGACGCGGCGTGACGTCAGACGCCCCGCCCAGCAAGCGAGGCACAGTGGGCCAGAAGACCGGCCTGGCGGCGGGGCCAAGGGCGGGCAAGGGCGGTGGGGACGCGGCGTGACGTCAGACGCCCCGCCCAGCAAGCGAGGCACAGTGGGCCAGAAGACCGGCCTGGCGGCGGGGCCAAGGGCGGGCAAGGGCGGTGGGGACGCGGCGTGACGTCAGACGCCCCGCCCAGCAAGCGAGGCACAGTGGGCCAGAAGACCGGCCTGGCGGCGGGGCCAAGGGCGGGCAAGGGCGGTGGGGACGCGGCGTGACGTCAGACGCCCCGCCCAGCAAGCGAGGCACAGTGGGCCAGAAGACCGGCCTGGCGGCGGGGCCAAGGGCGGGCAAGGGCGGTGGGGACGCGGCGTGACGTCAGACGCCCCGCCCAGCAAGCGAGGCACAGTGGGCCAGAAGACCGGCCTGGCGGCGGGGCAGGGCGGGCAGGGCGGTGGGACGCGGCGTGACGTCAGCGCCCCGCCCAGCAAGCGAGGCACAGTGGGCCAGAAGACCGGCCTGGCGGCGGCGGCAACAGGAGGGCGGGCAAGGGCGGTGGGGACGCGGCGTGACGTCAGACGCCCCGCCAGCAAGCGAGGCACAGTGGCCAGAAGACCGGCCTGGCGGCGGGACCAAGGGCTGGGAAATGGCGGTGGACGCGGCGTGACGTCAGACGCCCCGCCCAGCAACGAGGCACAGGGGCCAGAAGACCGGCCTGCGGCGGGGCCAAGGGGGCAAGGGCGGTGGGACGAGGCGTGACGTCGACG